GACAGTGGTGCAATGTATATCGTTCCTCTACGGTGCACCAAATGGCCCTGCTGTCATTAAGGCAGTTTGCTGCTGTTATTGTGAGTCTTAAAACAAGTCTTTCCCCTTCTGTGTGAGACCACTCCTCTGAGATCGTACGCATGCTAATGAGAGAATTAGGCTCAGCTACCAGGAATTAAGCAAAAATGTACTGACACATATTCCTGGAGAAATTCCTGCTGAAAGAAAATGCCTTTTGCGGAGATGCTTCGATGCTTGCTGCAGATATGAATATTTCAGAGCATGTAGCCTGTCTCTGGTAGGTTGCTTGACCATGAAATTGCCCGTGAAATGGGAATCTATTGTTTATCATGCTAATTAGTAAGCCAAAAAGTTTATTTAAAGGTCACCAGAAAGCAGTAAGAAATAGCATAGTGTATTAATGGAAGAAAACTTAAGAAGCCATAGGGGGTGTCGGTTATTTAGTAGACTATTATTCCTAATACTTAAGATACTTTGAGATGTGTGTTAAAGTAATAAGGGAGATGAAGGAATGTTTTAATATAACTTAGTGTGAAACTAGTCTTCAGAATTTATTTTATTCATAGATTTTTGCATCAAAGGTCCTATAATGATTAATTTTCAAACTTACAGGTTTTAATAGCAAAATAAGAAATAATAGCTCCAAAGTTCCTTTGAAATGTTTAATAAAATGCTGTTCTTTAAAGCACTAGATATCTTTCGAATGCCACTAGTACTTCAAAGAACAGTATTCTTTACAGTATTTTCATACAGTATTTCTATTCCGTTTTCTCCACTGTGCACAGCTGACTCAAGTAGCGCAGAAATATTTTCAGATGAGCAAAATCAAAGTATCGTTATACTCCAACGAAACACTGAACTGAACAACTGTACTGAGTACTTGATAGGGTAGAAGTTTCAATGCAAGTTAATTTGATGTTACAGAAGGTTCCTTGGCCTTCCTTACTCCAGGACGAACTTAAAAAAAAAAGGAGTAAACCTGTAGCTAACAGCTGTAACTGTTGTAGCTGTTCATTGGTTTATAGGCCAGACCTTGGGAGGAGGAGCAGCAGCACAGCAGGTTACTGGGACACAAGCGAGAGAGACCCTTCATCAGTCAGGTCCAGTAAGGAGCGAGTAAGTTAAAGCTGGTTTTGTCTGTTGAGCAGAAAAATTGGCAATTAAGGTAGGATAACTTCAGCAGTCACCACCCCGGGTGGAGGAGGAGAGGCTTTTTCTGCAGGCACAGTCCAACAGGCTGAAGGGCTGATGCAGATGCACGGGAGGACTGATGGAGACCCCTGTTCCAAGTGCTTATTGTAGGAAAATAGACATCCTTCCCCAGATGAGATATACTCATGTCAAACCAAAAGTGTGTAAAAACAGGGATTCCAACCTGGTGCGTGCCAAAGTACCCCCTTAACGGATATTGGAGAGAGAGAGAGAAATTCCTCCTGGGATGCTGTAAAAAATAAGAGCAGGATTTGGCCCCTTCCAGCAGCCCGGGGAAGCAGAGGGCAGCGCTGAACGGCAGCTGGGATTGCATGCTTTGATCCTGTTACAGGAGGGCTACTAATTGTAAAGTCAAGCATGCAAAGGTTTAATTGCCAGCAGGTGTCATAAGAAATTTCTCTCTGATCTGGGCAGGGGGTAACCGTGTATTTTCCTGTATTGTTCTCTCCTTACCATTGTTCATTAGAACATAAAATGAACCTCTACGTGAGGAAATGGGATAAATAATTTTGCTGCTGTCAGAAAAGAAAAAAAAAAAAAAGTTCAAGCTTTCAAAGAGGAGAAGTTGTTAATTAGGAAATTACTACATGGGAAAAATATAATTGTGGAGGCCAGAGAGTTCTTAAAAGCTAGCCTGTAGTTTTATAACCTGCCCGCTCCAAAGGGTTATACATAATCTGCCCCAGGAATTTACTCAGGTTCCTCGCCTACTGGCATTGTAGGAAAATGAGTGAATTTAGGCAATTAGTAGAGCTGGCGATTGCCAGGGCCCTCGCTGTCACCCCCAGCTCCTCCTCCGCTTGTGGCTGCCCTTTTCTCTCCGGCCCCGGGCACAGGGCTCAGCCTGGGAGGTCCGTGGGCATTATGTGGGGCAGGAGGTCCTGCCACCATCCCTGCGCCGAGGGGGAGGCAATGCAGATCCTGACTAAATGCTTTAATTAGGGGGGCTGGTCCCCGTGGAGAGCAAATGGAGACGGCTACTCTTGAGAAGGTGATTCCCCCCGCTGTCCCCGAGATCTAGCTTGCATTTTTTCCGTTGTCTTTGCAGAGACAGGGGTTGATTTGGGCAGCGTTTACTCCGCTTGCAGGGTGAGTGAGGTTGCTTTCACTGCCGTGCACTAGGAGCATCCATGAAGGGAATTACTGCTGAGAAGTAGTGCTCTGCAAATTCATGCCTGAGTTTGCTCCCCGTCCACGTGGACAAATCCTGGTAAGGTCCATTGATGAGCTAGCCCTAAGTATAGCTCAAATAACGAGCTAGCCCTAGGCACGAAGAAACTAATCAGATCAGTCTGGTACTAGTTTGCAGTATTACACCCAGCATCACGACAGGAGCAGCCAAGTTAGAGAGGAACGGCTTAAAATCCAGCAACTCTTATGAATTATTAGGACAAATACAAAACACATCACTTCATCATTTCAATACGTGAAAGAAAAGTCTTGGCACCACCGTAATAATGGCAAAGCAAACAGAGCAGTCAGAAATAATTAACTACATGGTAAGCACCAAAGTTGGCTGATGGGGCTGTTCCAGTAGATGTGGCTTCTGTACGGGAGTTTCTGAAGTATTAGATGGTGCCACTAGACGTGGTTTTTTGATGTGGGGGGAAAAAATGTTGGTACTTGGAATCATAAACCAATGTGGCTTTAGGAGTTTTGCCATCACCCTCAACAGGAGCTGAGGCACAAGCATTAATTGGGAATCTCTATACAGAATTTGCATTAATGAAAAGAGACAATGGACCTTTTGGGTTTATTTCAAAAAAAAAAAAAAAAAAAAAAAAAAGCATTGCCTGTAGCCTTACATGCCTTCGCAAGCATAAGGCTGCCAGCCCACACACCCCATAAAAAAGCCAATGCTTTGTTTTAAATTAGCACCCAATTTCTTGCCAAAGGAAACAGAAGCAGCAAGCCAGCCTTCTGAGTTTCTCTGTCTCTGATCTCCCAACAGGCCACTTCAGCTCAGTATCAAAAACAAATGCCTGTAAGGAAGGACATTTATTCAGTGCAGAAGAAACACACTTCTTATGCGCATCTGCCGAGCAGTAAGTCTTGACTAACCATCCAAGAAATGAGAGATCCCTGTGCTTTTTGCATGCCTTCTGTTAAAGAAAGGCTGTACATCTTTGGTGGATTTAGAAAATAGAGATGATGCTTAGATACTGTTTCATGGCATTCTCTGTTTTTCCTCTTTTCTGTAAATATCATCGTTAGCGCTTGCGAAAAGTCATTAGCAATGAGTCCATTGCATCCCAAGACATTAAGGACAGGTTTTAATTATTTTTCCTGTACTAAACCCGTTTCTTAATAGCATTATGGAAATCTTTATGGTTTTATTTCAATCCCGAAGTAGTTAAGAACACATTACAGATCAATGCAACGGCATTTTTCTTGTTTGCCCATTCTCTAGAAGGAAGGGTGCTTCGAAGAGCCACTTCCTTGAACAAGTATGCTGAACAAGGTCTTAATCTCTTGAAATAGCAGCAACTTGCCTTTGGTCTTTGCTCAGCCTACACCCGTTTTGGACCATGCCAGTGCATATCAATACAGTGAAGTAAAAGCAAATGTGATTGAGTGAAGTGTCAAGGAAGCTGCAATGGGCATTTCTGATTTCGACAGCTGTCCTTGACATCATGCTCATCAGTCTTCCCCAAGCCTAGCCAAGTGATTCCTCCCGTAGAAAGCTTGTAGAGGCCATTTTCCCGAGCAGCAGAAGAGGTAGCTTTCCATCTGTACAGGTTTATTTTCCTTTATTGCAGTAAAAAGAACATGCACTCGAGTGGAATTTGAAGTCACCAGCATAAAATAAGGCAACAAGATCACATGAGGGCAACTGGAGGAACTGTAAAGGCGTAAGCAATGGACAGAAGAGTAATGAGAGAGTTAGTAAAAGACAGGGAATATGTAGCACTTTGAAGAGTAAAAGATAAGCAAAGCAAAACATCCAGTGAATGTCCTGGTGACAGTATCCCAGCAACAATAAATTCTGCTTGTGATAGGGCAGGCTGAGAAAAAGCTGGGAACTGACAGTTTTCTAATCTCCTGCCAAAAAAACCCGGTCACTGGTACCACTGCATAATGTTGAGTGTAATGTGTAAAACTCATATAGGTATGTATGGCTTCTATGCAGCAGCTACTGCCAAGAAAATTATTCAGAGAGAGAGAAGTTGACAGACAGTACCGATGATCTGCGTTAGAGCTCTTTGAAGAGGTATGTCGGCGGCGAGAATTAATTTGACTTCCAGTTCAGGTGGAAGATGCTGACAAAGAAGTTATATTGCTGGATGGACAATTTTGGGGTTATGTTTTCTGCACAGGAGTGATGTTGGCTTCTGAGCTTATCTGCTACCAAGAAAAAGGAATGGGATGGCTGGTTGCCACATGGATCAGTTTATCAATGTAATAGGGTCTTGCAGACTAAAATAAATGGGAATTTCCTGTGGATGAGCATCTGTGTGGCAGTAAAGGGTATCAAATAGAAGAAGATTTGCACATTTTTTGAGGAAGAGGAGAAATGAGGCTGATGCAGGTATACTTGGGTATTCTGCCAGTGTAAGGAAAGAAAGTGATAGATAGTCAGATGTCTCAGAAAAGCCTGAATGAAGAAATAATAGCCATCAGTAGTGAGAGACATTGAATCGGATGGATTCCCACTTCTAGAAACGTATATGTTTATTATTGATGTCACTGAAAGTTTTATTTCTTTCCTTTTTGTACTTTTCCAGTGACCTGGTTAGTATTTCAACATGCAAAGGCAGGTGATGGAAGGGTTCTGGGAGGAAAGTGGAAAAATTCCATGCATGAGCTAGAACAGCAACTCTGCGCTGGCAAGGAGTATAAAGAAAAGTAAGAAAAACTGGAGATAACCCTAAATGACTAAGACTCTGTTGTCCTAGTTATCACTAAAACATGGGGGAAAGAGTCTCAGGAAATGGCAAGTCACTATTTCCACAGTTGTTCTAAATCTCTGAACTTTTCTTCCCTTGTCTAATATGCTAGACCTGATTTTAAAGGTACCTGAACACCAGGAGGTTCTGGTTAGCATATAGAAAATTCCCTGCTCCCCTATTCCAACTCTTGCACATCTGTTGAACTGGAAAATTCTGCCCTGTATCCTCTGGTGAGAGATGCTGAAATGGGTGTAGTGGGTTCCCACGGGGAGAGGGAGGGAGTGTGCAGGTCAGTAAATATTTCAGATTGCTCGATGATGAAACTGTCTTGGGCAATGGAAAATTTTTGGACTTTCTAAAGGTAATTTTAAATTTCCTTGAACTTTTAAAGCTGGCTGTTTATTAAAATAAAAAGAACAAAATATTAGTGTAGATAACTCTCAGTCAGATGAGAGACCCCGAGAAGTGCTCTGGCGGCTCGTGCCACTGCCACTTCATGTGGGAAGAGAGAGCAGTCGCAGTGCTGCCCGCCCCGATGATGGTCTGAAACTGAAACACCGTCTCTCCCCCTTGCAGTATATTTAAATGGAAGTTCATTGCCCTGCTGGGCACCTGGATTTTATAACTGACCTCTGAGAAGTAGCTATGTCAGTCTGCTGTGTCCTCGTCTATAAATTAAAGCCCAAAGACTGGTAATCTGGACTGGCTGAAGGCAGTTACTTTTTGAGTGGAAGAGACCAGGCTGAGACCTGCCCCTTTTTTTGTAGGACCTCCTTAGGGGCAGCTCTGGATGCTTTTCAAGTGATTCGTGGGGCTGATGGGATGCTGTTGTGCTCATCCTTGCTATTCTTGGATGTTCAGTACTCTGCAGGTACACCGAAGGACTGGATGGAGGCTGTGCCTGGTGGAAATGGACGTTCCCAGGGTGGAAAAGGGCTGTGAGCTTGCAGCTTCGGGCACCAGGAGGAAAGCTCTGGCTTCACCTGCAGATTTGCAGCTCGGGAATAGAGTCAGGCAAAGCCCAAGCCCTGCGGCAGCACTGGAGGGTCAGGGTCAGCGGGCAGACCAACACGGGCACCGCTGGAGGGAGCAAGGCAAAAAGCAAACACAGAAAGGTACATTTCTCCATGTATCAAACCCCTGTAATTTAAAGCAGCAGAATGATGTTTTCCTTTGCTGGAATAATTTCAATTCCAGGTTCTATAGATTTTTTTTTTTTCTTCTTCAAATCTGCAATCAGTGTTTGTCAGAAATGAGAAATGGGTTGGTTTTTCAATGGTGCTGTGCTCCAGGTCAGCTTGATAACATGGGAAATGGCAGGCTAATGACAGTTTAACACCAATTAACAGACCACTTTATAATAGATTAGCATTCTGAGTCTGTTCAATTAGTAATTACAATAATTAACTCTCTGAGCTTGCATGCACTTTTGAAGAGAAATTTGGTACCTTTGTTTACGCTGAAGAAGGAAATGCACAGAGCAGGCATGGATCATTTGAAGTGTTATAGTCAGTCAGGATGGTCAGTGTACTAAATTCGGGCTTGCTCTTGAAATGTGCTTGCAGGTGGCATCCTCCCAGGTGGAGGTGACTATATAAATGACTATTTTAGTATTAGCTGAGCACAGCTGCAAGCAGAGGCTGAGATTTAGCATGTTGCTGTGGCTCAGATAAGGCATTTGTGCTGCAGAACAGCTCTATCCTTGCTTCAGGATCCCTGGTCTCAAACTGATGGATTTCCCACCTACTTAGGCCAGTTATTTTCAACATTTAGCACTCGTAGCTGAAGTCAGACTCCCAAACATGTCCTTTCCTGTTGGGAAAACTAGTGCGAAGAAGTATTTGGTAAGAGGCAGCTCTACACCGATGCTTATAGTGAGGTGCTCAAAAGAGCTCAACATCCAGCGTGACTGTGTCCTGAATTCTTGGGGAAAGCTCTGTTTTATCTTGAAGGCTTCAGGAAATGCAAGTGCTGCTGCCGTAGTGATTCCTGTAAAAGGTTTGTGGAAGGCTGCTGGCACCCGCGTGTGATGGTGGTTGTCTGTGGGACTGGAGGCAGAGCATGGAGAGGTCAGTAGGACAGACCTGATGGCTCTAGGGACATGGGGACATTGTCTTGGTGGGTTAATGGTTGCAAGATCTCCTTTGAAATTCTTGGGCTCCATTAACTTTGTGTCTCATTTAATTTTGCTGACCTCCTCTCTTAAATACTGTGAAATCTCCTTATGAGAAATGCACAAGGTGAGCTTTACTTATGGTTATTTTTGAAAAACTCAAGCAGTGGTCAGAGCTAAAACAGCAGGGGACCTTTGCAAATGTAGCCTGTTGGGGTGTTTCTTCAATCCTGCACAAATTAATAAAATTAACCATTTGATGCATGTGGCACCAACCTTGGAGAGCAAGGTTCCTCTGGGGAATAGATTTTGGTATCATTAAGGAGCCAGGATCTGTCCTGGCAACAGGGGAAAGAAAGGTTAAAAAGAAAATCTGGATTTTTAAACTAAGGGTATTGTTTGGATTGTAGGGCTGGATTGGTTTTGTCATGCCGTGCTCTACCAGAATAATTGGATGCATGCGCAGTGCAGCAGCAACCCTGGGTGACAGTGGGTTTGTCAAGGAGCTAAACAGGAAGCCTGAAAGCAGAGACTGTAGTTAAAAATTGTCATCATCTTCCTTTACCCCAGCAGAGCTCATGTCCCCCATTCTTGACATTTCATAAGATCACACGCACACACTGAACATCACTGTTCTCGCCTTGTTTGAAAACAGTCTAATGGAACAACAAGCAGGTGAAATCATAAAGAAAAGGGGCATTGATGATGCTGCAATTATAAATAAAGAAGCCTTGATTTTTCCCAGAAATGGCTCGCTGTGGTTTAAGTATTATGAGGGACAAGGCTGTGATCTGCACTGTCCCAGTGGGACGACCCTGCCTGTAGAAATCCCAGCTGCAGAGAAGATCGGGTGGATCACACAGAGGAACATCCCTGTGGATGAAGTCCTGGGGTGTGTCTGGGTACCGCATTGCCCCAGCGCTGCGAGTCCTTCGAGAGGAGGCTGGGGTGAGGCAGAGATGCTAAACCAAACCAGCTTTAGCTGCTGCCTCCTGCTTGGGGGCTTGGGGGTGCAACTGGGGGCCCATAATGACCTGACAGCTCCCTGGAGAGCAGCAGGGCTGGCCACAGAGAGGCAAAAGCTGCCTTATCACAGGGGACTTTGACTAGATGGCTTATATTTCTACTCCTAAAAGGTGCCCTGTCTTTCTAAAATCTGTAGATGAGATTCTTAAATTCATGAAATCCTTCGGGCAAAATTGCATGCTTGACAGAAGAAGATGGAGTTAGCATACAACACAACTCGGTCACTAAGGGATTAAAGTAAAAAAAAATGATGATGTGTTTATAGGGTGCCTTAAAAGAGACCATTTCATAAGGCTGAAAGCAATTCTGAGTTAAATCAGGTGGGTAAAAGAATTTGGCAGAAAAATGGGAGTAAATAGGAAAGTTGGCTCGGAGTTCAAAATGCCTCAATCAAGGAGGATATCTGCTGCTTTGAGAAACTCCAGCCTTGTTCAGAAAATTAGAAATTTATTTCCCTTCGACATTACCAACATAGAACTATTTTTCTTCTCCTGCCTGTTACAGGGTATTCAGTTGCGTCACTTGCTGCTCAACAGAAGGTAAAACCCTCTGCTGATCCACTTAAAATATAAATAAGTCGTGCGATGCACTCTGTGGGGTGTGGAACAGATGTTTGAGAGCACAGCTGCTAGGCATCCTTCTTGCTAGTCACTCACAGCTTTTTAGAGTCTCCTGTCTCTCTGTAGTTATATTAAAGAACATTTTCTACCCCTGAGGTGCCTTGGATGAGCTGCTCAGCTCGGGGTGTCTCCCCCTTCCCTGGCCAGGGACCTCCTGCCCTTGGCACCGCTGCCTGTCCTGGGGAGAAATCTGCTCCCTTTGACTTTGACACGTCTCGCTGATTGAGGAGTCAGGTTGATGGGCTGTAAAAGGCACCACTTTTAGTTGTTGTCAGCAAGAAGACTGATTGCTGACACAGGTGATAAAACAGTTAATGAAATGTTGGGATCTTCAGAGATGCATCAACTCTTCCCTCCCCAAAGGAGGTGGTGGGCCAGGTCTTCAACTCAGGTGAGCAAAGGCAGCAGAGCTGCCGCAGATCAGGCTTGCAAGACATGAAGTCTTGCAAACAATATCTTATTTGATGCTTTCTATGCCATATATCAAATATTACAATTGTTTTGGGTTTATGTCCCAGTGAGCGTAAAAGGAAGACAGGTTTCAGACCTCTTGGAGAGTCCTTGTCTGTGATTGAAAGCCTGCAGACAAGACTGTGTTTCTAACAAACGTCTTCATAATACTTAACATTCAATAGAGTAAAAGGAGAATAATGAGCACTGCAGCTATCCCAGGTTAGTAATTACCACCGTCATTATTAATTTTCCAGAGCAATCTCGTCAAATGAATCATTATTACCTCAATTCCTTAGCCAGGACTGATTGATTCTTTCTCCCTGTTGTGACTAATTTCATATAATGTCTAAGTACAATATAGAACTATAGAGCCAGTGTAATTCTAATGCAGAATAATTCCAAAAACCAAAATCCTTTGCCTACAGCTCTGTTTAGATCTGTTGCTTTATACCTCTTAACTGAAATAAATACCCCAAACCTGTCACTCCCCACTCTCCGTCACAGTCACTGGAATTCCACTGGAGACAGGGATTTGCAGCAGCCCGGGATCTGGCCTGTGTGTTCTGATGCTATATCTGTGTTGGCACCGACCAGGAGCTTCACAGCACCTTGCAGAAGAGTAGTCTGAAATAAGCTTTGATAATCTTCAGCATTTCATAATGGTCATTTCAACCATTTTCAAGGAAGGGATTTTGGTTAGTCTGTCTGTGTGGCTTTTTTTTTTTTTTTTTTTTTTTTTTTTTTTTTTTGGAGGAGAGGCTAAACGTGATGGTTTCCCAGCTCTGTTGCTTTAGCTCTCTGATTGCAGCGTTCTGTCAGCAGACCCGAGGATGAAGCAGTTCACTGAAAGACAAGGAGAAGGCTCTCCGTGGGGATGGTAGTATGCTTCTTGCTTCTACTTAAATGATGAGGTAGATGAAGTAGAACGACTACCTTTCCTTTAAAAGCTTGGAAACCCACTTCTTGCATTTTTCTTGAGCTGGAGGGAAGGGAAGGAGAAGGAGACAGCAGCTATTTTACAACTTTGTCCTTTTTGTCTCCCAGACTTCAAACATGATCAGACTGGAGAGGGAAAAGAGAAGACTATAAACCCAGAAACAGCAAGCAGCAGGGCTGTAAGTACCCTTAGCATTGGGCCTTTTTTTTTTTCTTTTTGTTTTGAGTAGGAAGATGTGATGGTTTAATCCCAAACTGACAGCCTCAAAATCTTGGTCTGTGTTGGTAGGGAAGACTCAGGTGCGGCTTTGCCAGCGCAAAGTACTTTGGTTCCAGCCTCAGGGACGTCCAGGGCTGAGGGCCCGAGGTGTGTGAGGTTCTCACCTCGCAGCTCTCAGCCCGCCTTGGATTTGCCTTCCCAAATCCAACCCCTTCCCAGCGGCAGGCACGGCCCGGGGGCTGATATTTATGGATATCAGCGTGGGTTGCTCTGGACTGAATGGGGAGAATTAGAAATATTGAAGCGGACAGTAAATAAATGAGGAGAGGTCTTGTGATATTTCGGTACCTTGGCCATCCAGCACTCCTTCATTTCTACTGGTTGTTCACTGAGGCCGTTCCACTTTAGTCCATTACTGCTGAATTAAAAAATACACTTCCATAGCCTGTGAAAGCAGAACATGATTATGCACCCTGAACTCCTCTTTGCTGGTGTGTTTAAGTATTTAAATCCATCGGGAGCGTGCGTTGCATCAGGGATTGATTTGTTCTACGGGATTCAACTGGGAGAACCACCGTATCCCAGCGCTCAGGAGCAGCCTTTGGCTGCTTGGGGAAACTGGGCAGTGAAACTTGTACCGGGTGCTTTGCCAGCACCTTCCCCTCGAGCTGGGCTGGGTCAGGCCGTGCCGTCCCCAGGGCTCTCGTGGGCTCTGCAGAGCTCGTGTTTCACTCCTGACCCCAGCCCAATCCTTGTTCTCACCCCAGGTACAGCCAGCCCGGTGTCATCTTCTCCCCTAAGGGGATGTATCCCGTCCTATCCTTCAAGGTGCGTTGCATAAAAGCTGTAAAATCTATATTACAATTTTATTATTTCCAGATTTTAACAGGAATACTTCACATTATTAGCGCTGTCTTCTTGGAAACACGTCTCTACTGTAAATTTCTGCTTTTCCTGGTGTTCCTCCCAGCCGTACAGATTCAGTCAGCAAGAAGAAAGTAAGGTGATAGTTTTGCATACTATTTTTTCTTATTTACAGTAAATAATAATACCCTGTTTATACTAATTATCACCCAAGATGTTTACTAGGTGTGAGATGCTGAGATTAAAGCAAAGCAAACCTTGAACTAATTAGAGGGTCCTTTTGGGCACGCGGAGGCTGCTGCTGAAGCCGGCGGCGGTACCTTCTCTGTTTGCATGAGACGAGCACAGAGCTGGGGAAGCAGTCGTTGCCCCAGAGCAGGGCCTGACTTAGGTCTAAACCTTCCCTGGATATGAACAGTTCAGCTGAAATCAGTGCAAAGAAAGTCTGCTGCAAGGATGTGGTTATAGGGACAACAGGCTGAGGGTTGTAGTAACCTGGCTTGGTTAACAAAACAAAACAAAACAAAACAAAAAACCAAACAAAAAAACCAAACTGAAAAACCCCCAAAACAACAAAAAAAAAAAACACAAACAAACAAACAAAAAAAAAAGGCCACACACACACACAAAAAAAAAAAAACAAACTAAACCAAACCAGTTGTGGTATTATAGCAACCTGAATAGAAGTTAAACTAAATGTAACTTCTTGCATACAACCAAGCTTGGAGATAAATCTCCATGTTTTTATAATAAATGTTACTTTATGGCAATCACCATATGCTACCTCTAGTCCTGTTTTGAGTATAAATCATAACAAGTGTGTATCCTAAAATGCTTTATTGTCTTTTTATGGCCACATACGGCTGCTGTTCCTTCCATTTGTGATTATTTTTTTTAATGGTTCCCCCTAGAACCTAAAAAATAATTAAAACTAATGAATACTCTGCAGTGACAGTAAAAGAATGAGCATATTGCATCTATTCTCACTTCCCAGATCTGATCAAAAGCAAGTGTCGAGCTGTGAAGTTGTGACACTGACATTTTGTACTGAGCTTCCGACCACCTCCTGAGACCAAACGATGACTTTGGGGAGGATCATGAATTAGAGTTTTCATTGTTTCACAGGAATAGTGCTGAGAGGGTAGAATTAAAATTAGTTGAAGTCACAATGTTTATTTCTTAGCAGAGTCTTTTTAGAAAATTAACGTCTAAAAGACTTTAAGACAAACAGATTTTTTTTTTTTTTGCCTCCGTCCTTGCCCCTGGCTTCAACGTGATATATTCTATGCACTAGGACTGGCTGGACTAGTTCCAACCAAACTTGTTCGGAGCGCAGCCCTTTTTTATTTAAAAACCTGCAAGCCATATGTGTGTCTGGATATCCAGGTTGGTGTAACTTGCTCAGGGAGCTGCAGCTTCTGAAAGTCAGAGGGAGGCGGTTGCTGACCCCCACACCGCTGGCAGTCCTGCCCTGTCAGAGCATCTCCACTGCTACAGTGAATGGCAACCTGGACTCCAAATCCAGAGTTTTGACTCAAAGTGAGAATGCTGCCTCATAACTGCGGGTTTTATCTTGCTTCCAGAAACTTGTGGGTTTGATTTTTTTTTTTGTTGTTTGATTTTTGTTGTTTTTTTTTTTTTTTTTTTTGCCTCCAGTGCACTTGGGTTTTGAGCTTCTGCATGTGTTTTGCATGGGAGTGCAGCCAGCTTTTAGCGTTTCTTAAACACCTCTCAAATTCACTTCTCAAAACTAATATTTATCTGTAAAGGATGCAATTAAAGTGTGTGTGTGTGTGTGTGTGTGGTGTTGCTGTGCATCTCTCTGCCACTCTCTGGACTTCCTGCAGCTCACGGTGGCTTTGAAATGAAACTTAAGGGGAATAATTGACAACAAAGTGCTAGCCAGGGGTTAAAGTGTCATTACGACAGGAGGAAACCTTCAAAGATCCCATTCAGTGGGGGCCTGGCCGGGGCTGCAGCTCGTGGGGACTGATGAAAAGCAAGCTCCCCAGGCAGCTCCTCGCACGCTGTCACCTGCCTTCTTTCATTCACATATCCGTATGCGCATGAGCGCACGGTGGTTCGAATTTATTGTGAATTTTGCGTGTCTGTTTTGCAGGCCGTGAGCGACATTGGCTTCCCCAAACTATCTCCTCCTCCTTTTTCTTGGTGTCGGAGCAGACTTGCAGCCCCGCAGCGGAGCGGGGTCTGGGCTCTGCAGCACCGAGCTTTCCGGCTGCTAGGCTTCTTGGCCAGTCACCACTTACATCAATAAATACCATTCTTCTACTAGAACAGGTTTAGTTACAAAAAAAAGCAAATAATGGATAATAGGAAAGCATCATCTGCATACCTGATGGAGGAATAAGTTACCTTACATTTAAGAAGTCAGGGGTAGAGCCACAAAATTGAATCCCAGCCTTCTGAATTCCACTTTGACATCCTAAGCTTGATACCATAGTTTAGTCTTTTATGCTTTATGTTGATTCATTTCTGGTTAAGTGTTTTAACTACTTAAGTCAACGTGATTTGCAAGCAAGATAAAAACAGAGCCTTAGGAAAGCACTTTTTAATTTCCAGAGGTATTTGTTAATTGATTCCAAAGGGAGAACCAGTTATAGTTAAAAACCAGAAATGTGCAAGAACAAAGGGTCATTGAAGTCAATGTCAGGATACTGCCAGGTGGTCAAATTTTACTGTCCTGACTCCCTTTTTTAAAAAAAAAAAAAACTTTGATGACCATAAAGTTGCCATTTTCTGTACTAGCTTCTCTGTGAGCTTCCCCCCTGTACAGTTACACACTATCATGAGTTAAAGTGAACCAAATCTAAACTGTTGTGGCATATAAAAACAGCAAACAAAGGAAGGCAGCTTTTTTCCCTAACCCCCTGAGATTTATTCTGACAGTTTGCAACTAGATGAAATGGATAATGGAAGTCCCTTGTCACAATAACTCAGTTTAAATGTATTGTCAGATTAATAGACTCAGTTATCCACTCTTCCAAGGAGAAAAATGACTTGTGGTTTCAAATCATGCCCTCACTCATGGCATCCCATCAAATTAACCAAACAGGCCAAATTTAGACTCCCAGCAGAAGCCAGGCGTTTTATGCCTCGTGTCATAAAAACGAGTTTATTTCTTGATTTGCAATGCCAGCCAAATGATTTCCAATTGCCACCGCAACATCTGTGGGTGCCTACGTGCCCGATGGCGGGCGGGCAGCTCCGTCTTGCCTGGCGGGGGGTGTCGGGAGGTTGGGTGCTGTGGGGCGATGCCCGTCCCCCCCCCCCCCCTGTGCTCCGGGAGGGGGGGTCCTGCCTGTTCTGGCCCCATCCACCTGCCGCAGCGGCTGCAGCCGAGCCGGGTGAAGGCATGCCAGGCAGCTAATTGAGCTACTGCTTAAACAGGGTGATAAAAACCACTCTTAAAAGGACTGCGGGGCTGTGTTTTCTGCTGCCTTGGGTTGGTACGGAGGAGTGGGAGTTTCCAGCTGGCGGAAACTCGGCTTGCTGACTTTCTGCAGAGTTTGGAAAGCATTCTGTAGGATTTGCCTTAGCTGGGTCACAAAAATACCTGCGGGAAGGCTCTCCCTGTCCTTCCAATTCCAGGCAGAAAGCATGTTAGACCGTGTCTATTCGAACCTCTCTTGCCCTTTTGCTAAATAATCTCATGAGATGATTTCACTCTCTTTTCAAGGTCGTGGCTTGGTTCAGAGTTGCAGAAAAAAAAAAATGACCTCACTGGGACGTGTCCGGGCAGGGCATTCACGGGCCGTAGGAGCTACAGCAAATCATTCAGGGAAACAATATTTCCAGTATAAATGAAGCAGCCCCATTTTCTTGCCTTCGGTGTGGCTTCTCAGCAGCGGGGATCACTGAGACACAGGCGGGCGTCCCGGCTGCGGCGTGCCGAAAGCGAGGTGCGTGCAAGGGACCTTTGGGCACCGGGAGCTGGGACCAGCAGTGGCACTGGGAGCTGGGACCAGCAGTGGCACTGGGAGCTGGAACCTTTGGGCACTGGGAGATGAGACCTTTGGGCACTGGGAGCTGGGACCAGCAGTGGCACTGGGAGCTGGGACCAGCAGTGGCACTGGGAGCTGGAACCTTTGGGCACTGGGAGATGAGACCTTTGGGCACTGGGAGCTGGGACCAGCAGTGGCACTGGGAGCTGGGACCTTTGGGCACTGGGAGATGAGACCTTTGGGCACTGGGAGCTGGGACCTTTGGGCACTGGGAGATGAGACCTTTGGGCACTGGGAGATGAGACCTTTGGGCACTGGGAGCTGGGACCTTTGGGCACCGGGAGCTGGGACCAGCAGTGGCACCGGGAGCTGGGACCTTTGGGCACTGGGAGCTGGGACCAGCAGTGGCACTGGGAGCTGGGACCTTTGGGCACTGGGAGCTGGGACCTTTGGGCACTGGGAGCTGGGACCTTTGGGCACCGGGAGCTGGGGCCACCCCAGCAGCTCTGGCCCCGGCACCGCACAGCGCGTGGACTCTGCCTCGGCGCGGCTGCCGTCACGTCTTTGCGTGGGGTCGGTGGGGGGTTTGCAGGGGAGTTTTGATAATCTGATTCTCGTATTGTCAAAAAGCAGCTCTGAATTTGCAGACCAACCATCTGTCGCACGTGGCACTGCATTGAGGAACCAGGGTTGTTTATTAACACGTGTGGAGTGAATTATCCCGGTTTACATCCGGAGAGTGGCAAATTGTTGGATTTAATAGCTGTAAGCTCCTCTGATCTGCAATCACTGTCTGCTGGATTTTTTGATCTGACAAAGCATTGTGTGCAGTGCTGCAAGGATCCTTCCCCAGCCTCTCCGGGGGAATCCTGCTATCAGGCTGCAAATGTATGGCTGCACAAAACGTGTAATTTTGAAGTCTAAACCTCTGAGAGCTCACGACACACTGAGGCAGCAGTTTACCTTCAAAGTCGCTTCTCTGCCTGTACTTACCACCTCTTGTGATTTAGCACTACCTCTCACACGTCCTCCACAGAAAGTCATAAGGTTTACTTTCTAAAAATCTTATCTTCTTCTCTTAATTAGGCATTTTCACACAATGAACCATATGGGAGTCAGAGAAAAAGGTGTCGATGTGCAGCGCAGCCTGGCCCAGTGGATGCTGATTGATAAAGCTGGCAGATGGGTAGATCGTCAGCTTTGAAGACTGGATTTTCTGCTGAAACTATTAAATAAGACAGACAGACAGAAGAACTAAATGGCAAGGAGGGTGTGCAGTGCAGCTGCTTCCCCAAGTTGCAAGAAATTGCTCAGGTCAGTGGGGCTTCCACCTCAGTGTTTCCTTCTCCGTGATTTTTTAAGCCGTTTTTTGCTAAAACCAGCTCCTACTTGCCCCATAAATATAACTGCATTTAAGTAGTTTCCCCTGGGGGGATGACGTGATGCCCAGCTTGGTGCCTGAGCATGAAAGTTCATAAATATAGTTCATAAATAAAAAGTAAAGGTTTTAAACTAAAGGAAGGTAGATTCAGACTAGATGTAAGGAAGAAATTTTTTATGATGAGGGTGGTGAGGCGCTGGCACAGGGTGCCCAGAGCGAGGTGGTAGATGCCCCCTCCCTGGAAAGGTTCAAGGCCAGGTTGGACGGGGCTCTGAGCAACCTGGGCTGGGGGAAGGGGGCCCTGCCCGGGGCAGGGGGGGTTGGGACTAAATAAGCTTTAAAGGTCCCTTCCAACCCAAACCATTCTATGATTCTCTGATAAATCATGGGATTTTTAAACTAGCTTAGCCTTTGCTCTTGTAACGTTACCTTTCTTTTCCTGTTTCCCATCCCAGCTGATGTGCTGGGCCTCCTCTTTCTTCTGCTTCCCACAAAGCCTCTCTTTTCCGTTTTGTCTTGTCTTTGCACATCTCCATCTCCTATTTTCTTCAAGCATGTAGATACTGTGTCACTATTTTGGACTTTTCCCTGCAAAGTAACCTAGAATTATTACAGCGATTTGGTCCGTGATCTGAATTCCCACGTGAGATTATACACACGCTGATTTAGGAGAGCATTTGAAGACCACACGGTCAACAGCAGGTTTGTGTGGAGTGCTGTCCCACACCAGGCTGCTGCAAAAATGTCTTCTTCCCTGGAAAGTGTAGGTTGTTGTGGCTTTTCTGTAAAACCTCCCCTAGAACCATTAATTCCCAGGAACGCCTGGAAGGGTTCTCCACGTGGTTGTGTGGAAATTGAAACCCGTGGCATAAAGAGACAGAGACATTTGTACGACCCTCCCTTCAGTAGCAAAATTGTTGAGCATGGCATATCCTTGAAGCACGTGGAATCTCTTCTATTTTAAACTCTAACCATGAAATAAGAAAAAAGCCCGGTGAAGCAAAAGCTTCTGCCTTTTTATTTTTGCTCTTAACATGTAAAAATAGAAGCACCTGCTGGGCTCGTTAAATATGTCTTTTTATTTTCATAAATCACCAAGGTAGAATTTGAATTATTTACTCGATAAACTCGAGGCCACATTAATTTCCATTCTCCATTTTTTTGCAACCAATTTTTTGTGCATTAGCTTTGGAGCTGTTTCCCACCCACCTTTTGTTCAGTGCCCACTGAGCAGAGTCCCTCCCCTTGGTGACTGCAGGGGCTTCGTGAACTTCAAAAGCAGCCTGAAATGTCAGCCACGTGCAGCCTTTCTGCAGCCGCTAAATTATGGATCAGAATACAGCAGATCAAACAGTTCAGAATTATTCACTTGTGGGTCTTCACTTGGTAAAGCAATAAAGATCTCTGCATTTCTTCTTTGGTAATATGTGGGGTGGTTGTTTTACATGCTCGAGAGTAATGTTATCGGGGTATGGGGGTGTGTATGTAATTTTTTTTTTTTTTAAGCACGGCACTTCAATCAAAGCTTCATTCTACTGTAAACCCAATTAGCTTCAGCCTGCCAAGTCAGCTTGACTGTCTGCAAGAATGTATGTAAGGCTATGAATAATTGCTAAACTCAGTTTTCTTTCTATCTAAGAAATGCCACGAGGCGTTTGTTACCACTAGATAAACCCTCCGCACTTGTCTCTGTGGTTCCAGCTGAAGACACCCGTTCAAAAATCATAAATGTGTTTGAATAGTATTCTGTGTGTGAAGAGGCTCAGTAAAAAGCGGGTGCTTTCTTTGCTTTGGAGCAGAAGGTTGCTGAACCCAGATCCCGGGCTCCACCAAACGCTCAGGGATTTTGCCATTAGCTTTAGCGGGAGCAGGACGGAGAATTTCCATAGCTTTATTGCGTGTGGCTGCAGAATAAACCCATTCCCGTAGGAAAACAGTAGCAGGGCTGCGCCCTGTGCCAGACGAGAGGAGAGGTTAGAAAATGAAACGCTCCAGCAATACGTGTGGAAAAATGGGTCACCTACTTTGTGCGAGGAAGCGCACAGGTCGCTCTCGCTGTATTTTAATATGCCACGTGCTGGGACTCGGCTGCAGAACCCACCCAAACCCGCGCGGAGAGGTGGGGTGTGCAGGGAGCTCTTGCTGTGAATTGCTTCCAGGGCTCCTTCCCATCACACTAAGGTATGTGCTGGAGATCCTCTTGCTTTTGGTCAGTTGGTGAATATAGGATGTATTTCCTAACATAAGGAAGGTTGGCCACGCTGGTATGTTCGGTTGGTTAAATAGAACATGGCTTCCCCATTTGCAGTGGGTTCCCCCTTAAATATTTACTGGCCTTTCCATCATGCGTGCAAAATTGCCCTATTTTTCCTTCTCCATCTATGGGCCACCTAAGAAGTTGTCGGGGGTGACGTCATCCATCTGACTTCAGTTGAGCGTCCCTTCTCGTTTTTGAAATTGGACTCCTGTCCAACTTGTGTCCAATTATGATTGTGATTAATGTTAGCGTGATTAATTGTGATTTCTGTTAGCGCCCCTCAAGGATGATCATATTCCAATGACATCCTGAAGACTCTCCAACTGTTTTCTTGAAAACAAAATTTTTTAAAAATGTATTTTCCTTCAAGTCTAAGGTTCAGAACGTGATATGCTATTCCATGTGATGGCCACTGGTAGCGAGCTGTGTGGCAAGATTTTGATGCTTCAGCGCTGGATGTTTGGTAAGATTTGAAAATGTTCAGATTTTTATTACTTAAGTGTTAAATGATGTGTATTTACACTGACACACACATATAAGCAGCACTTTTTTCTTCCAGATATGGTATTATATAAAGCACCACAATATTATTCCATTTGTCTTTTGTAAAGTCTGCCAAAAATAATAGGTTTGCATTAAGACTGAAAACTTTAGATAGGAAAATATTTCCGATGCTACAGGGGAAGATATGATTTTGACTAACTTTATTATAGCAGGTGCATAAGCGAAGGCCTGTTTTGACAACTATGAACTAAGTTGCACAAAGTAGGAGTGACAGTGTGATTCCCAGCAGCAGAAGTCAGTGCCACACCAGTTTGTTACAGCTCCAGCTTCCCTTTTCCTACACGAATGACGGTGGTGTCTATTATCCCCTGTACACAGTGATCTGTCAACGACTACTTTCTCAATTACTTCTGGTGTGTACGTGGGGGTGACACGGGGGAGCAGGTGATACCTGATAATAGTACATTATCAACAGGGGAAAGTTTCATTTTCTTTAAATAGAAACCATGTCTGGGTAGCTGCAAGACTCCCAGACTCTGTGAAATCTAGAGGGAAATTTTAGTCTTAGCTTTTTCTGTGGGATTAACTAAAAAACTTACGTACGTCCCATTTCTTTTGAAAAACATATTGACAGACTGATGACTACTGCTCCTATATCTGGGTGTGAACAACAATATAGAGCCCAAGAAAACTGGGTGGTCCTCTCGTGACTCTTCCAAGCAGCATAAAGCACCAAATAGTGTATGGGAATAGGGGGGTAGCCCTCAAAAATAGCCATGTGAGGAGTTTCAATCGATGGGGGACTTGTCCCAGGCAGCTCTTACTCAGTAGTTGGTTGATGCTGCTAGGGAATTAAAACACAGGTTATTGTGATGAGCAGTAATTCAGCATCATGATCCAGTTGGATCCTGCCAGTGCTCGAGGCCGCGACCGCAGCAGCGTTTGTGCCGTCAGCCCTTGGATCCCCACTTCTTGCCAGCCAGACCTCGTCCTTCTTTTTTGCCCAGAGGGTCTTCAGCCCACCTGCTGTTCCTGTCGGTCCTTGGTCCTGGTGGCATCCAAGTAGGTGTGATTTATCTGGAAAGAAATAATAGATGCATTAAACTTGGTAGTTATTATGTACTGAGAAATGCCATTGTTACATGAGGGGTTTGTTTTGTTTGATGTGGTTGCAAGTTATTTTAACTAAAAGAGGAGGAATGTCAGCCTACGCCCCACAAGTGATCAAGAACAGCAAAAATTATCAAAGGACCGTGTCGAGGGGTGCAGAAGAATGGCCATGCTGCTGCTTCTTCCCTATTTCATTAGGAACCATTTTGGTATGTTCATTACCCAAGGACATTATCACAAATTGTGTTTTGTCCTGGGTGATTATGCCGTTGACTAAAATGTCAATGATAGTGCGTAAAACACAGCTGAGAAATTAGGGATAATTTCAGTAGCTATTAATGAACTACAGCCTTGCTTAGCTGATAGAGTCTTCAGAGAAAGGAAAGATAAAGAGTTTTTGTCTTTTTCAGTCTTTATACTCCCAGCAATATTACTGTTATCGATTAGGTGCAAAAGAAGTTTTACTCCCATTTATTTTAATTTCTGGCTGATTACGGAGTCTCTGTGTGCAAACGCCGTGCGTCTCAGCTGAGATGCTCAGGGCACGCACCCAGGGAAGCTGGCGGGAGCGCGGCCGGGGCTGGCGGCTCGCAGCTACGGCAGGAGCTGCCCAGAGGCCGCCGCGGCAGCCACGGGCCGTCCTCCTCTGCAAACGCCGGGCGCAGGGCTCCCGCAGCTGTTTCTTGAGGCTTTATACCCATTTCCTGCTTACAGGTCGCTGCTTAGGATGAGTTTTTATAACTTTTCGCTATTACAAAGGTGCTAGAAGTCGGGCTTTGCGGTGGGAATCGGTGGGGCGCACGTCTTGGCAGAATTTGGCGTGCTGATCTCAGCGTTTTGTAACTGAAGAGAGCTCTGGAATGGAAGAACACGTGGAAGCTATTTTAGAAGATTTATATATATATATATATACAGTGCTTTAAATGCAATTAGGGGGATTCAGCTAAAGGTTTCACATTAGCTCATTAAAGCATGGCAGCTGTAACCGATCCTCCCGGCAATGAACTGCAGTTTGCTAAATGAGGAGAGGCTGCTGCATAGCTGCCCTGCTCCTGGCATGTCTTGGGGATGGAGTATTCTGGGAGGGGGTAGCAGACGGGCTCCTGCAGGGAATCCCACAAATTTCCTCGGATGGATATAGCAGCACGATATTTGATATAATCAATATATAGAATATTGTTGTTGTTTCTAGTCCAACAAAAGACTCAAGGAGACAGAGGACAGCACACGCAGCCGTAGATTTGTGCAGAGGAATTCTGGCAACTGGACTGACAATTGTAGCCAAAGAAAAAACTGTGGATTTTTTCACTTCATTTGAATGTGCCGGCACGTGCTGTGATTTTTAGATCCATTAGAAGTGATGTGGAGGTAATCTGCAGTGTGCAAAACCTCTGTGTGCTGCCCCAGGCTTTGTCTGCGGCATCCATGGTCCTCTTGGGAGGCAGAACTTATGTGGCAAGACATAAATCATAGAATCGTTTAGGTTGGAAAAGACCTTTCAGGTCATCGAGTCCAACCGTTAATGGAATTAAATGAAAACATCGAGACAGCTTGGAGCTCCTGGAGAGCCTTTGGTTGGAAGGTTCTGCACAGCCCTGAGCCGTGGGAGAGCCGAGTCCATCAGAGCAGCCTCGGGGCGCGGACGCTTCGGCCACTCGGCCCTTCTGAAGGCTCCGCTCCGCTGCGGCGCAGGGCCAATTAATTTTATGAATCCTATCTGTGGCTCGTGTTCCTCCTTATATAATCCTCATTTGCTTCAAACGAGCAGAGAGTGTGCCCCTGAGATTCTGAACATACCTCTTTATTAAAGTTTAAACAGAAATTGTTACCTACACCCACAGAAGCTAAACTTAGCACTAATATATGAAATGAGATGAAGAGAATCCCTTTCAATCCCCTACCAGGTGTCACTGTAAAGAGAGGGGGGGAGAAGGTGACTGCATAGTGTTATGAACATCAGCATTAACGATCCATTGTATTTATTTCTCCAGTAAGCAGAAGCAGATTAAAAACAAAAACGCAGAAGTTAATTGGGTGATTGCACAGCAATCGGTCTTTGCTTTTGTTCTCCGCTCCCCGGGAAGCCGTGCGCTGCCGGAGTGGCAGTTGTGACTAACAGCACGCAGCTGGGGCAGCGTCTTTCTTACCAGCTGCATCAAACGCAGGGAATGAAAACAATTTTAATGAAGCCTTGTCCTGTTCAATTCTCAGGGAGCGAGCAGCCCGCGGTGGCCGGGACGGGCCTCTCGTCTCCTCACTGGCCTCCCTCTGCCCCCCGAAGGGGCTCGGGGAGTGTTTCGAGAGCAGTTTTATAGCTGATAAGGGCAATTAAAAATCATGTGTTATCACTGCTGAGGTTGCTGGATGCCGAGTTGGGATGTTTCATCTCACCTGCCAGCTCAGAGATTCCTTTCACAGGCTTGCGGTTCGTCTTCCAAGGATATTCCCGTTCAACCTGAAGCGTGAGAGGAACCAGATTGTTTAAGGTATTGAAGATTTTAATGAGCCAAGCTGAAAAAATGTTCAGTTTTTCTAATAAGCCCCCAGTTAAAGAGGACAAGGAGGAGGGAAAGGCAGCGGCCACTTCACAGCTCAGGAAGCCCCGGCTTTCATTGCCATCGTGCCCATGGCACGCCTCTCTGAAATCAATGAAAGTCAATTCTGCCTCAGAGTGATAGATTGCTTTGAGATCTCAGTAGAATTTTTCTCCAAATTGCGAACTGGATGAGGGTCTTACAAATTATGAAAGCCCTAGATTCAATGCACGTTAATTTTCTAGCCTATTTTCTATGCCACTGTCAGAGCCACGAGCAGAAATGGAGATCAGAGGTTACCTGTGGGCTCTCCAGTGGAGTTTTTAACAGGGCTGGGAAGAACCAGTGAGCTGGGACTTGCTTTTAGGAGTTTTTGGAGATCTGTTTTAGCAAGGTATTTTCTACCCTTTCTGTAGTCCAATTTAAAGCTGGCTGTATGTGTGTAGAAGGCAAATTCCCTACTACCATGAGCAGCTCTCCCTGCAAAAATTGTTAAGGCGAATTAAGTTGCAGGAGTACATGCAAGAAAAGATTTGCTTTTTCTCTAAGGAATACTAGGATATTTGTCAATTCCTCTCCATTAGAAACCTAACACATTCAGAGGTAAAGATGAAAAGTGAAAAACCCATGAAGATCAGATGAAAGGATGGAAATTATCATTCAGGTAACCCAGCTACCTTAACACTGTCACCATGGAGATCCCCGATTATCTTCTGCTCTTTGCATGCAAAGTGCTGAGAAACACTGGTTTCATAATTGGCATCATATTTCCCTGAGTATATTAATCTTGCCCGTGGAATAATGCTCATCAGGTCCTGAATGGTTTCAGATAACCAGCAGTAATATATTGAATCAGATGATTCGATATTCTGATTTTCAATGCAGGGATTATTCGATGTGTTGCCGTGCACAGTGTGCAAGCACGGAGGTGACTGTAACTGTGCTGGGGGTGAAGTTCCAGCATTCTGGGGTTTGTGCCTACTGAGAAGAAAACTCTGCGCTCTTGACTGATGAATGAAGTAGCATAACATTCTGCTGTGGCTTGCTCTACATTCCTTGTATTTTCAGATTTCCATGCTCTGACTCTGATTTTCCTGGATTCTGGCTTGGAAAATATCTTTGCGTGGGAGTACCTGCTCAGAAGGTGTGTGGACCCAGCCTTAACATTTATTTTTTTTTTTTTTTTGGTAGGTCAGTACATGTGGGCTCAAACTAATATTTTACACAAGACATACAGTTAGATGTAGCTTTTTATATCGTCTTTATAATCTGCCTTCAGTGCATTAAGTAGCTGTCTTCAATTAATTCAGCTGGTGTGTTTCCTCCTTTTCCCATCCAGCTTGTTTCAGGGTTGACAGAAGAGGTGTGTCACATTTGTGGCTGTAGTTTTAAATGAAGTTAAAATTTGTCTTTTATCCTCTAGTGTCCCTAAAACAATTTAGTCCTACTGTAATTATTAGCATTCTCATTAAGAACAGTTTAGCTAAAAATCAAGACACAAAGACGCAGTGACTTCATCAAAGCAACGCAAATCCAGATAAAGTTAGGTTTTTAATTCAACTTCTATGCTTTGAAATAAATCCTCAGAGCATCAATTACTCTATCTGTTGTAAAGCAACTACTATCAGCCTCCATTGCTCCCCTTTACACATTTTAATTTAATTATTATTTTTTGCTTTAAAATATAGGGTAAGGAATTTTACAGTTCCTCAAGAAGAACTAAAGCAGACAACAACAAAAAATTTCTGTAAAAGCAGAAATTGCTTTCTTTTGTAATCAGGTTGATTGGACTCATGTATAATCATACACAGCAGGTGGGAAGATTAACATTTCACTAATTCCTAGTGGTCATTACTGCAAGGAAATTTAATCTGCAGAGTTCACAAGGATAGGAGTTGCATGCTGGTAAAGCTCATTTAAAAGACAGAGCAAAACCAACACAACTTTATATTCTGGAATCCAGTTTTATTCAAAACTATTTTGGCCTGCAGGCAATACGCATACACCCAGTATCTTCTACTTAATTGAAAAACAGATTTGTATTGATCATGCCCACTTAACAAGCACATTCAAAACCCATTCCTGTTCTCAGTTTACTTCGGTGGGGAATACAGGCAGACCCTCAGCAACTTAAGCTGCTTGATAAGATGGATATTTTTACAGCAAATGTATTTTTTTCTGTGTGGGGGATGTATTAGTACACAGCACTAACAGATTCAGTTCTCATATTTGGATCAATTCAGAATAATTCTGCTGGTGTTGCACAAGTTTTTAATTTTTTATATGAAAACAAAATGTGACATAATTATTATGATCAGTTTCCGCTTCACTAACCAGGATGTAGGACTTTTTTCATTCGAAACCCTGAATAAAATGTCCAGCAACTTGCGATGTGAAAGCTATGGTCATCTGCTTCTCCTGCACCTACAGCTCTAATCTCTCGACTTTTTCTAGTTTTACCAGCAGGAGATTTTCCATTGACATTCCGTGGAAGAGCTCAGGGTGGTCTGTGACTAAGCTGGAAAAGCTTGAAGGATTATTGGATGGGTAAGCAGGGATGACTACTCTGCTTTTTATCTTGTATGGAGCCTAGCTGAGCTTTAGCTATGTTTTCTGTCTCCCACGAGCAAGAGCAAAAGGAGTTGAAAGAGTGAAAGGGAAGTCTAAAATTAGCAGCATTATTGAATGGGGAATGGAAGCAGACCCCGAGTTTAGCAGGGTAAGCAGCACGCTCCTCCTCCTTCACCTACGACTGACTCCTTGTGCTGCATCACCCAGGAGATCCCAACGGGATAAACACATCGGGAAGTTGGAGGAGAAAGACGGGGAGGAAAATTTAACCTGGGCATGTTGTGCTCCCTGTACTTGGACAAATCATGATTGAGATACAGCCCTACCATCACAAAGCAAGTAGTCCGTGGCCAAGTGCCTTGCTTTTTAACGTTGTCACTAGTTGAAGTTGCTTTGAAGACCTCTCCTAAAAAAGCATCTCATCCCATCCAGACCCATTGAAAAGCCTCTTGCGCCTGCCTCCGGTCATTGCCCCCGTGAGGAAGCGGGAGGTGGGACCTGCGCCGGTCCCAGGAAGCCGTGTCACCATTCCCCTGCTGCTGGGGACGGAGGGGGTCTGAGGGGCAGGAGGGAAGGTGCCACCGTGGGGCAGAGCTGGCTCTGCTCGATGGTTGGCCCTCCAGTGGCAACCCGTCCTGCCTGTCTGCACGGAGGGTTTCCTCTGCTCCCCCTCTAAATACCAGCACTGCAGCGACCCTCCTCGTGACTTAGTTGGGATCAGTAGGCTCGTTTTCTTACCTAATGCTTTAAAGGCATCCTTTGATCTATGCAGTTAAAAGTACAGTTGAGCTATATTGTTAAAAAAATTGTAAAAAAATGACCAGATGGCACAGTAGCTGGATTTGGCTGGGTTAGAATAGGGTATTATTCCAACAGAGATAACAACATATCCCTCCAAAAAAAAACAAGTGACCACTGAACATACGTTTTATTGAACATCAGAGATTTTTACTGTGATAATGATGATGATATTACAGTGATATAATGCTGGTGTCCTTTATCCACAGAAAGCTTCGGTGAGTCTGAGCCCCAGTGGGACTGGTGATGCTTTCTTGTCCTTTGCAGGCTCACAAAACTCGCACGAAAATGTGGCTGAAGCTCAAGCATCTGGTCTAGCCCTGCTGCTCTGCCAGAGCTGTGCTAAACTCAGGACTACTGAAGTTGTAATGGGGTAAAGAAAATCAAAATAAACTCCTGCTATTGCAAGAGTTGTTTCCACTTGATTTTTAAATGCTGGGTACAGAATGACAGCCATGAAATACATAGCACGAATCAAAGCAAGTTAAGTGCAGCTAAACTAGGTTAATAGTGGTGTAGATGATGGTTTAAAAATCAGGAACAGCTAAAAACATGACTGCACTGATGTTAATGCTGTATTAGCCTGATAAAAGGACTGATTTTTGTAAGTCAGTCTTCAATCAGTGCCTGTCTCAGCCCTTGAATGCAGCCTACTCTTTGAAAAGAGCTTAGCATTCTGGTTTAATCGTGGCCAAAATACAAAGTAATGCATTCAAGTAATTGCATGTATGAACAGTACTTAATCCTCACTCCCATTCATAGTTTGAAAATGTTGTTGGGATTTAAGTGATGGAGTCGCTGGGCGGAGCCAGAGGGTTTGCCCCCTGCAAAGTTCTGGGAAAGCTCCTGCGAGACAATTTACATCCCACGGAAAATTAAGTAGCTTGAGCCCGGGGTGATGGCTCAGGGGTGAAATGATGGGGTGACCCCGTGGACTAATGGGGTGCCCTGACCCACCGCAGGGAGATGGTTCCCTTGCTCCTGCCCTCCAGAGTCCAGCATCCAGACCCGGTGCCCAAAGCTCAGCATGTCCCATCTTTGGATGGAAAAAGATGGACAGGAGCCTTGTGGGGCTCTGGGAAGAGCAAACAGGAAGGCGTCCAGGGACTGTCACTGGCAAAGATAACAAAATTAACAAGTAAACTAAGAGGGAAGTTAGAACATCAATACGCACAGTAATAAGTGACAATGAATCACCAGAGATCTGTTGCTTTAATGATGCTGTTGTAAAAATGATGGCCCCGAGCTATTTCAGACCACGTATACTGAATTTTGGCTGATGCTTATCAGTTTATATGCAAGAAAATTTATAGCGTGCAACCTAAATGAAACAGTCCTTTGGACAAGAAGAAATGGATTGCAGGTGCAAACAAGCATGAAATGAAAATCTACTAATGAGTTTCCATTAGCAGCTAAATACATAATCGAATAATTTTTAGCCAACATAGAGCAATGAGAAAATCAATTTATTCCTCATAAGTACTACTATATGGATTGATGCTCTGGTACATCTAAAGCTGGTTTTGTTAAGTGAAAGCTGAGCTTTGGATTCAGTTAAAGCTCGGCTAATAGCAGCAGAACATGGGTTTGCTTTTACTGAATATGAATGGAATATATTTTCTTTGGAAACCCTATATAGCAAAAGGTAAAAGGAGGTATTAGTTAATAAGGAGTATTTCCATCTGAAAGCTAGAGACTAAAATATTTCAGAAAGGTGGACTAGCACTGGCACGTCTGAATTTACTTATGAATATCCATTAACGAAGTAAGCATTGCTCTTCACCTGCTCTTTAAACAATGATATCCTCAATTTCCTTTCTTTTTGCCTTAAACAGCCTCTAACCTGAGTTTTGCTTGCACGGTGTTTTCGGACCTTATTCAACTATGGTAAGTATTTCTCCTTCCCCTATGGAGACCCTGATTTCCAAGCTCTCACAGTCATATACATAAACAAAATAGCTTTGAAAAGCTGTTTGGAAGGTGTTGGTGAGGATTCTGCAGCAGAAGACACACTTTGGTGTGAAAGAGGCTCTGCTTCAGCGCCACGCGAGAGAACGGCAACACCGTGTGTTTCTGCAGTTACTGCATGTGAATGAAATTCATACTGAGAAACTGGCTAATATGTACAGCACAAATAATCTAATGTTTCTTCCAGGCCAGATTCTTCACCTTTACTTCCAGCAAGGCACGTGTCCCGTGGACCTCATGGAGGAAACACTGTTCCACAAAGGGGACCTCAGCTGGGCATGGTTTGGCCTTCATCATCTGGTGGTTTTAATTATGGAGAGGTAGGTGGGTTTCTACTTCGTCCCCTTAGAAGCACAACCCTGTGACCTAAAAGCACTCAGTACTTTTCAGGGCAAGACACTGAAATCAAGAGGACTTTTTAATGGGATAGGCTTGGGGACTGACATTCATCACAGCCTTTTAAGGCTCAGTAGTTTATGAGTCGATGTATGCATAATATTTGCCAAACCAGAGGTCAAAGGAAATAGTAATAATAGAGAAGGAGGAAAACAAAATACTTTTAAGCACCCTTTTTCAAGGAGGAATTCATTGTGATAGCTCAGACTTACTAAGTTTTAAAACCACTGATTGATGTGATGAGGATCTTAGCTCAGAAGTAGTTACTTGATGGGGACATGGTTCTTATACATGGAAGCTGAAGCTTATAATAAGCTGAAAAACTAATGGACTTGCTTGGACACATAATGCTTCTAGACAAGCTTTCAAGAAATGCATGGCTGTATATAAATCTCCCATTTTAGCATGACAAATATATCCCCTCATAACAGAAACATGAGCAAACTCTGAATTGAGATGTTCTGGCTGGTGGCAGTCCAAATGAGGAAGAGGCTGGAGCACAATTAAGCTAATCATCGTGTTAAATGTCTCATGTCTGGTGCCCAGCTCACTGATGGCTCCTTGCTCCACGAACAGCCGCGCCGAGTTCGGTGGGCCGACAGTTTGTCTTCACATGGCGCTTTGCATTTGACGGGATCCCTGTAGGATCTACAAATTTATCAAACTGAAATAGAGTCCTTTCACTGCTGAAGTCGGCTTCCTTTGGTGCGGGAAGCACGTAACTGCAGGACCACAGTTTAGAGCAGGGCGTGATGAACAATGTGCTGTGGGAACTGTGAAGGGGACTCGGGGCAGGTGCAGTGCGATGAGCTAACTTGACCCTTGGTAGGAATGTGGGAGTTTTTTGCAAGCCAATTTCTGAAAAACACAACGTGGCATCTGTCGTGTATTCGAAATTTCAGATGTGGGTTTCTTCTGAAGGCAGAGCCTCTAGCTCTAGGCACCTGTCAGATCTGTGGGCTGTAAGGCAGTGGGAAAAAAAATCTCTTTTGACCCCTAAAAAGCTGTACGAGAAGTGAATAAATGCTATGTTTACAATATCAGAAGAGGTTACTGCCTTTAGTCTTGATCATACCACTGCCACAGAGTCTGTCTTCATCAGAAAATGGTGGTGGGAGTGAGAACGTGGGGTGTCCTGGTGAGCTGCTGCCTGTGGCCGTGCGTCTCCCGCGTTATCCTTATCCTCGCGTTGCTGCTGCAGCCCCTGTGCCCACATACAGATGCACAAAGATGGATGTAGAGCTCATTCTCAAATCCATGGAGACTGCCGTTCTCAGGCTCACACTCGGGATATTTCCTACTGAATTACTGTAACTTACTGCAGAACAAATGCCTGATACAAAAAGCATCAGGAAAGACATCTTTCTTTTACGGTCTTTCCCGGTTATTATTGTAGCAATGGTGGCTTTCAGGGAACGGGAGATGGCTCTGTCAGAAGTGGTAATGGCACTTCTGAGCTGTCGATTACCTCCACGTTGTGCCGTTTCACCGCATTTGATAAAGACATCTCCGTTCTCTGAAAGCCATCGGTGATTCAGTGATAGTACCAAAATCAAATTGGATTGCAGGTGCTTTCTCTGGCATCCTGCGTTTGAAACAGGATGTCCCCATGTCGGACAGAGTGAGATGACATTTGTTTACAAAAATGCAATATAAATCACACTTCGAAATACCTTATTTTCGTAAGAACCTGTTTATGTGTGTGAACTTTAAACCAAAGTGAGACGTAAATTATTGGACACTGTCTGGATGTGGCTGAAACTTCTGAGGTGTGTTTGACTCGATTTGTCTGAGCAAATGCCTGCATCTTGGACCCAGTCTTGGGGCAGTTTCCCATTGACTCCAGCTGGCATTGTATCAAAGCTTAGTGTGCTCTACAGCGGGCAGATGAGAAATCCAAGTATTTCTATGACTTTCTCCAGAGCTGTGAATGCTGGGGTAACTTGGAGATACTCACAAGATTGCCCCGAATGCGCCTGCATGGCTGCTATGTGCAGGTAAGTGATGACAGGCAAGAAACAAGGAATACAAGAAAGCAAAAATACTAGTTAATTCCCAAGAATTGTCAAAGCATTAGAAATGTCTACACAGCCTACCTAGCTCCACCTTGGAGAGCCAGCTAAAGCGTATCTCCCTTCCCATCTTCCTCTAAAACTCTAAATGAAAAACAAATAAAATTTTTATAACCTTATATAAGCACTGCCATAACCCTATGTATCAGCCAGCATCCTTTATCTCTCACCGGCTGGAAATCTTGCATTTTCATTGCCCTGAATCACCAGATGCATTCATCAAACATGACAAATGCCTCCAAAACACTAAATCATACCACTCGATCTCAATGGGCTACATGATCTTAAAGGTCTTTTCCAACCTAAACGATTCTATGATTCTACAATCATTGTCATACCGACAATAAATTTGAATATATGTGTGTTCCAGACTCAAATACCTACAGCTCCTACCAGGGCTGAGAAACTGCAGGGGGAAAACTGAATTTTAAATTAAGAGTTTTTCAGTCCCTCAAAAATTTGATAAACTCATGAATTTTTGTGAGGCTTTCTGATTTATTTTTAGAAAAGAAGTAGTTTTTTCCTACCCACAGGAGTGATTCATGGAGTAAGAGACGTTTTCCAAGAATAAGGTTATCTCTGAGCAAGTGCAAAAATGTGGAAGGGAAGGACTGTTTAGGGCTCTCCCGGGGAGCTGCCAGTTCCGTGGCCCTGCCCGTGCGTTGCTCCCCGCTGCTCCTGCGCCCCAGAGCACCGGCGCCTGCCCGAGGGTGGCACTGGGAGGGGTGGGCAGTGGCTTTGCAGCTTCCAGGCCGGAGAGAAACGCAGCAGAGCATCCTCCTCCCTGCTCTGTTCGATGGGACCCTGCACCCCAGAGGCAGCAGCAGGAAAACGCCGAAGTCGTCGCGGGTCAAACTTTGGGATGGCTTAAAAAGGGGAGAAGCTGGGCTGTGGACGCATGGGGCGGTTGCCCTAAGGATCCCATATATCAACTGACCCGCGAGAACCGCGGCCTCTCCGCAGCAAAAGCCAGGCCATGCAAGGTAACCTGATAACCTTAATTAAAGAGGTTCTCATTCTCTTTCTTCAGAGTTGGTTGAGGCTAGAAAAGCGGCACTACCTGGGATAACCTTATCCAGGAGCACGAACAGACAGATTATAGCCCACTCTACAGTAAACTGTTTTTACTTCCACAGAGCCAGTACTCCGTGGTCAGACTCTAAACAGTTTAAACGAGTGCAGTAGGAGATGCGTGAATGTAGACATTTCCTCTTCAACGTGTATGCTCCAAATTCAAAAGCCTTGTGTTATACGTAGGACTGTGACGCAGACATGTAGGAAGTCTTTGTTTTCAGTCCATCCATGAACCTTGATTTTTTTAGAAGTATGTTATGTACATGCATGTGCATATGCGAAGACATTGTCTCAAAAGCAAGCATACCACTTGCTGCTAGGCAGTCATACAGCATTTTTGTAAATCTCTGCTGAGTGCTATTTATTGCATTTTTAATTTCAAATCAGGTCAAAAAGGAGACTTGCCTGGGATTTTTCACTGTGTTTTTGCCACCCAGATCCCTCTAAAGCTGAGTGCGTGATTTTGCTGTAAAAAAGATGCTGATTTTGCAAGAATGCAAAACCTGTGCTGACATCAGTGCGAGTTGTGTATCTGGAATGATTAAAGACCAAAGCCAGTGATAGGACTGCGTGGTATCAGCCTGGGATCTGGGAAATGAGGGCCCTTTGCTCTACAACTGGATCTTCTTAATAAGGGGCAACTTAAGGTGGCTGAAAACCCAATCCTGCTGATCATCTTCACTGTGAACTTCTCATCTCCCAGCAGCTTCCCAGTTTGACCTTGAAAGCTGTGATGAGCATCGAGGTAAGAGGGCAGGTCTCTGGTCTGTCCTCACCCCCGAGCCGGCGTACCTGGGCCAGACTGTCCACCGGCAGCAACAACCCCGTCCTCTCCTCCAGGCTCCAGGTCCTCAGTGTGTTCTTCTCCTTCCACGGCTCCTCGGGGGAGCCGAGCTCCCAGGGAGACCCCCTGCAAGAAGGGCTTTCTCGGGCACTGTGGTAAGAAGGCTCTGTTAAATCGCTATGGCTGTAGATAACTTCCACGACTATTTTTTTCCAAACATCATCTGATTTACTCCAGTGATAAATCCAGTGTTCCGTATAAACATTTATTTCCTTGACAACCTAGTTTTCCATTAGAAAAATGCCCAAACCTGGCACCTATTATGGCAATTGACAGGTAAAAATTCAGCTCGTGAGGACTCGCGCTGTTTAGCGTATATACCCAAACAGTGAAAAAAAATGGCATGTGTCACAAACCCACAACTGCCTCCCTATACTGCGAGAGCCACGGGGGATGCACATGGTGATAGGGAGACCAGGTTCTTTTCAGCCCTTTGTCATATTCTGAGTGTTAAGAGGGCTGAGGTTAAAATGTCTGAAATGTTTTTCAGTGGTAAGGACTCTAGAAGTAATGATTCTTGCAGACTAATTGCCCCCAAAATAATTCTTTAGCCCACTGTTTGATACAGTTTTACCTGTCAAGCTAAAGGGAGATGTCAGCAAGTTAAACCTGTTTGCACGAGGCTTATTTGATGTGAAAAGCAGGCGGGAGCCTGGCAGGGGAGGATTCTCCCAGCTGAGAATTACAAAAGCACATCCTGGTTTTTAGAGACAAGTTCAGAGGCAGGCCCGTAACATCAGCCAGGCACGGGACCACGATCAGCACAAAGCCTCGGCCCAGGCTCAGCGAGGACGTCTGCTGGCACCCTCAGCATCACAGAGAAGGTTGCTTCAGGGTTCCGTTTTTAGGGCTGAGCTTTGCCTCCTCTCGTTATGATCGGACGCTGGGTGCTGAGGGTCTGCAGCTTCTGGTTGTGCCCACGGAGCCAAAGAACTTCCCCATAAGCCACAACTGCAGCTGGAGCCTCGGGCACTCTGGTAACACAGGCAGGTTATAATTCACAAACATCCCCAGAGGCTCCTGTGCCATCGGGAAACAGGGAGGACGGGTGCAGCAAGCTCTGGCAGTGGCTCAGGAGTAGAAGACACGGACCGTATGTGTGCGGGGGGCTGCTCCAGACCTGCTTGAATGCAGTTACCTCCGTGGTGCTTCATCAGCGGTTTCCACATAAAGAGTATTTTGGAAGAAGCAGAAAAATGCTTTGTGCAATGGAAAATACCAAAAAGAACTTGGGATGGTAGAATGTAAATAACTAACTGACCAAATCGGCTTTCTCTTCTTGGAGAGGATCCATAACACAGATGCTGGTGGCTATATTGTCTTTTGAATGGCTCTGTCCTGTTCCTGCCTCAGCTGCCTGTACCTCCTGCTCTGCCGTCACACTGCTAGGCTCCCTGCGTTGCCACCCTTGATTTGTCCAAATAACGGTCTTTCGAAGAATAATGCCCCTTTACTCAAGGTTGAGAAATGGCTGAATCAGTGAAAGCAGCGCTTGGAAGTTTTCCTGGGAAGTTGCTGTCTCAAGTACTGGTCAGGACCTCATCCAGCTCAGCCCCTGAGAAATGCTGATGCTGCAAACCCCGCTGGTGAGATTTCAGGCTGTAGCCTTTCCCGTCAAAAACCCCCCACAAATAACCTCCCCTGCTACAGAATGAAATACGAACCTGTGCTTTTTCTGATTCCCACGAGTAAACCCATTAACCTCTGGATGCAAAGCTGCTTTCCGCATCGGCAGCCATCCAACCCAGATGCAATTTTCAAGTGCAATTGTCATCAATGTGATAGGGCATGTGAATGACAGGTTTGTGTAGCTGCGGTTAACGAGTCTGCTTTCACTTAGATGGGCCCAGAGCATTAAATCTGTATTCTGGGTATGTTTGGTCCAGAGTAGTTGTGTTGCAGTCCATGTCAGGTGCTGCAAATGCAAACCTATATCACTATTTTCATTAAAATCAAATCTAGGTCTTAACGAAGCAGCTGTATTTTTGGCACCTAACTTGTTCTGTTAAAAAAAAAAAATATTCATTTTAAAAATTAATAATGCTAATAGTCATTTAATTATGTGAAATGCTCATATTTATTCCTTTGACTCTTTCCATGGGAATGTGTCACTAAAAGGAAAGGATGTTCCATTAATATTGGCCAAAGCACAATTCAAACCCAGCCACCGCTGATGCGATACAGCTTTGCACCTGGGCAAAACAATCTGCCTTGCAGGAGCTCCAAGAGCAGTTTCGTTCCTTTAAATTAAATGATTGTTGAATCACAAACATTGATCAGCTACTGCCATTTGTCTGTTCTTTCTGTTGGCGCCGAAAGGAATCTGCTCTCTCTACCTCTGTGAAGGTGCACGATCAGAACGTTCGCTGATCATCCAGTTTTGCTTGAACTGTTGTGCTTAGCAATATATAAGGGGTTGAGAGATGCTGAGAAATAGAGCGTTTAGTGCAGGACGCTGCATCCATCCAGTTAGGGACGCAGGAGAAACTTAACTCCCCTCGGTCTCTGGCTTTGTTGGATCCTTCGGGCTGGCGCTGACCTTGCAGCCGCTGTAGCTGCGTGTGCTTTTCGACTAACCCGCCCGTGCGTGGGCTTGATCCGGTCCCGAGGGACAAACCCTGCTTTTGCAGACAGACATCCGTCCGGGCGCCTGGCGTCTGCAAAGCAGATCTCTCTCGAGTCGCCTGCACCCGGCAGCTGGGGGGCTTTGGATCTCGTCGGGTGTTGCCAGGCGTGGAACCGCGCGCGAGCAAAACGTAACGCAAATAGATAATGGCATGAGAGATAGCAGGGTGGTGTGGGTTAAGGAGGCAGGATTTGAAGTGGGAGAAAAAAAAATTCAGTTTTTCCAGTCCAGCTCACCAGTCCCCTCCGTGCGGACTAATTTTAGAGATAATTGTTACATGATTTCCTGAATATAATCTATTGTTATCTGTGCCCTGCAAAATAAAGCCACGTCTAATTCTGGATAATCACAGGGGTGATTTCGTAGTTACACTGAAATGAGAATAAGGACTTGTTAATGAGCTTTAAAGATCACATCATTTAATTCCGTGCTGTTGGTAGTTAAACCAAACTAGTCACAAAGGGGTATGTGCCCCTTCCAGCGCCGGCAGCAGCCCCTGGTAATTCTGAAGGCAGGGGGAAGGGAAGGTGCCTCTGGTCACACATCTCGCCTTGGCCTGCCGGTGTCAGCCGAGCGTTGGAGACAAAACACGGGTTGATTTGCTATTTTGTGCGCGTAACTGCTCTGCAACCTGGAGCAAAGGGTGGGAAGGGCAGGTCCTGCTGCCGCAGTGAGTGCTCCCGACGTGCCGGCAGCCTGTGACATCTCACGAAGCGGGAGGAAAGCACCGGCCAGAAAACGCTCACCGTCCGACACGGCGGTGAGGAACCGTGGGAGCTGCCGGGCGCTCGGTGGGCTTCAGGTGAAAAAAAAAAAAAAGAACCCCAAACAAACACTGTGGAAAAGTACTGACAACTCAGGAGGTGATGCTGCTCTTTTTTCACTGCTTTCCAGGGTTTTCCTGGCTTCAGGTGTGATTCACCACTTTAATGAAACCTTTGGGTTATCTTATGGAGGGAGAGACGGCTCACCTTCGGGAGAGAACGATAGAATCACACTTATCTGCGGGTTCCAGTAGAAAAGAAGAAGGGAGCAATCAGTTCTCCTCTCACAGCCGGGCCCTGGGAGCTCATTAGATTGAACTAATGTGATGAAGAGCTAAAGTTCACCCAACAAAATAAGGTAAATTATTTCCAGCTTACTGGAAATGACTAATGGATTTAGATAAAATGTGTTAGCTGTGAACAAAAAGAAAAGAAAATTATCAGAAGAAAAGAACTTTGAAAGGTGTTTCTGACTTGTTTTCCAAATGGTGCTTTCATTTCATGGTTAGCTAAACAGTGCCATTTTGGAGGCTTTAAAGGACTGTAAAACCTAACTGGGATGGACAAAATCTACTAAGTCACCTTGAAATTAGTTTCCCAAATGTTTAGTCAATTGAACCTTTTTTTTTTTTGGGGGGGGGGGGTGTGGTGTCAACCCCAAAATATATTTTAATTTCTTTTTCCTCACTTGCTTTGGCTACAAAGTGAAAAAAAAAAAAACAAAAACAAAAAAAACCCTCGTGATTTTGTAGAGACCATCAAACTGGTCTCACCTGTACCAGCAGTTCAGAATTTACTACCAACTTAACTAGCTTAAAGGTAAAACTCTCTTATGATCTTTTTTTTTTTTTAATCTCGCTCCCTTTTTTTTGAAGCCTAAGAGGCACATAAAATGCAGTTCTCAGCAGAAGGACGGTAATTGGGAGAAAATGTAATAGATGGTCCACATTTCTCTTTGAAGTTCGCATTGATCAGTGTTGCTGAGACTATTTTTCTAATCCATAACTCAGAAACATGAAGGAATTGTCACTGTATTCTTTCGGTGTATGTGGTTCACCTCCTAAGAAAATAGACTCTGGACTCCTGAGGAACCTTTATTCAGGTTTTTCTTGCAAGATGGCTTAAAATGGGAAGGAAACAGGACCCCGGTTGTAGTAGTTTCTTGAATACAGATTTTTCCCGATGTTAACCAAAACAGTAGTGGGTTTGTGATTTCTTTTTTATGTCTGAATTTTGTGTAAGAAAACTACATCTAATACCTTCCACTCAAAGAATGTGCTTTCAGCCAGTCACGGATTAATTAGGAGACGATTACCCCACCTCCTCTCCACTGGAGAGGCAGCTTGTGTTCAAAACCCAAACCCTTCACAAAGAGGGAAAAACCATCTGTCCAAGCGATGCTTAAGAAAGAGGTGGTTTTTTTTTTTTCTTTTTTTTCTTAATTAGTTGAATCTACATGTAATAACTTGTTTTCATAATGAAACCAGTTAGTAGGATGAATTTCCATGCCCCTAATTGACACAGCTATGATGTCAAACCTGCCACAGTGGCTCTGGCCACAGCTGTTGGAAAGATGAGGGACTTACAGCCAGATGCTTCACCAGCACCGGGACCACGGACACAGAAACCTCTCAGGGATCGTGTATGTGCAGAAAAAATGTCCTGGTGCTTGAGGTGCTGCTTGTACTGAGAAAACAGTTTCTCTGCATGGTCAGGCACTGCCAGATCTTAATCTCTTTGCATTTCAGTATCTCAGGGGAAGAATAACCTTCCTTGACAGGAGTTTCCAAAGAAAAGATAATTAAGACTTCGAGGATCTTGCATACACCGCTGCTGGGGACACGTAAGTACCTGATACGGGGGAAATCAGGTCACAGAGAGGGCTGCTGGCTTGGAAAAAAAATTCTGGTGGTCAGAAACAAAACTGGATCTATGGCGCAGAAGTTTTCGTATTCTACTGCCCTTCCCTCGTCTCAAACATAGAGCAAAATTGGCTCCCCACGTCTACTGCCCAAAGGTGAAAACACTCAAAACTGGGAGGCAGGTACTCAGGTTCCTGACTACATCTTAATAAGAGAGAGAGGGAATGATTATGCTCATGAGTGAGGAAATTATGGTGATCCAGAATTCAGAATAAGAGTAATTAATGAGTAGAGTTGTGAAGAAAATTCTCAAGGACTCTGAGAAACATCTTTAGAGCTGCGGTCTGGAACCTGCAGGCGGAGTAACTGCAAACGTCACGTATCTGCTCACATCAGATTTATCCAAAGTTTGTTCATTAGCTATTTCTAAAAATACCTTTTGCAGCTGATCGGATATTGGTGACGTGGTTTGCACCTCCCACCCATAGGAGCCCTCCGAGGTCCCGTACGACACCCCTCCCCGCGAGGGATGCTGCTCTCCGGAAGGCACGGTGCTTCCCGCAGTTTTGTCCTGGTTTGAAGAAAAAGAAGGAAAATGGTCATTCCCTATGTGATGACTTCTACCAAACTGTCTTCAAATAGCAGTGGGTTTTTTTAAGACTCACGTATTTGTAATGTGTTGCCCTGTTGCTGCCCTGCCACATACCCCTGCTTTTACATTCTCTTTGTGCCAAGCACACTGGTTCCCACTCAGGGACTGACTAATAATTATTCATAACGGCCTTTTGCATGTTTTTGGCATCTATTTTTGCCCAGAACTCCCTTCCTCTTCTCCGTTTAGAAATACTATAAAGTCCTTCTCCACAGTCAGACACTTCAGGACAAGCTGTGGTCATTGTGTAAGTGCAGAGCGCAATCCAAATGGAAATGAAAATTAATTATACATTACAAGCAGGTATTTAGATGAGCCTAGATTTGTTAATGGTTGATGTCAACCTTCGAACTAAATTAAATGTTGCTTTCATCTATTTTTAAAGAAATGTCTATTTTTGGTTTGTAGATGCCCTGCTCCATCTGCTCTTTAGATGGTTTTTTCTTCATCTTAAATATAGCACCCACTGGCTGTGTTTGTACAAAGCACGTATGCTCTTTGTGCCACCGCAGAGGAGGATTCACACAAACCTATCAGCAAATGCTTGGCCTTAAAAGGTGGATTAATAAGCGATTACCTCCAGGTCTCTTCTGCAGGTCGAGTCCTCTGTATTTAGTGATGATAGATATTAATTACGTGGTGCTGACACATTTTGCACCGTTGCACTTACGGGATGGATTTTCAGAGCTGCTCCTTCCAGTGCCCCTCCGCAGCGCCGCACGCGGTGCCTGGAAGGTGTGGAGGCTGGAAGGATAGCTCGTACCGAAACCAGCGGGGCTTCTCCACGCAATCAAAGCACCCAGGCTGGGCCACACTGAAAACACGAGCCCTGATTTCATCGCCATATATATATATATATATGTGGTTGAGCAGCCAGGATGGGGGCCGGTGAAGGGGCCCTCGGCAGTCGCTCCACTTGGAGCAGCTCTTGGGAGTCTCGTTCTCACTCAGATGGTCTGAAAATCAGGGACTGGGAAACCAAAAACCTGACTTTGTTTCTGGCCCTGTGCTAACGGCAGGCAATGTAAATACTTGGACGTAGCCCAGAAAATTCAAGGGAAAGCTGATCAAGGTTGAACGTAGGGAAAGCACATTCAGATCTTGCAGTCAGGAAAGAGAAGGAGAGGGTATTATATTTCTCTGAGCTTTTGGGCTGCCTTGCCATCTCTGAGCAAGATGACAGCGGATGTCTTGTAAGTATTTAAAGCCGGAGTCTGACCCACCCCATGTGGTGCTACAGCACATAAAGGTAAAGACTGGCAGCAATCTTCCAATGTTTAAATACGTCGATTTTGAAAACGTAGCTAAAACTAGGCGTAAAAATTCTGAAAATGTAGCTAAAAAGGCGTAACTGCTATTCTGTCCATGGTGGATAGTGACATTAAGTATTACTTTCTGGCTGGAACTGAAAAAATCTGTGAGGTGTTTTTTACACGTTACTTTGCAGAAACAGGGAGGCGGCTTCCTCTGTGTTATCACAGAGGATGGCAACACTCCCACCGTGGTGGGCAGCAAGGCTCAAGACACTGAGAGAAAATGCAACAGACATTTCTTTCTCATCTTCCTGGGCCTGTGCTGCACTACGGATGCGCGGTGCTGGCAATGAGCTTTGCTTTTTCTTTTGCTCCCATCAGTGGGAAACGGGGTGCTTCTCGGTGCAATCCCAGTACATTGCTCTGTGCTTCCCGTGCAGGGGTGCTGTGGGGATGCAAATACGCCTTTGAACTTGCATTTCTCCTTTTCCACCATCTCTCCTCGTGCTGCCCACGGACCCAGATCTGCAGGAGTAGGAAGCCCTTCGCTCCTGTTCCAGGAATAGGATTTCCACGGCTGCAAAGTTGTGTTTCCAAGGTGGGTCCGTATGTATTTTATTTTACCCGATCGGACGCTTATTATCTATTTTTTTGTTTGTTTGTTTCTGAGGGTTCTTCACCCAAACCAATCACCAGCAAGGGTTTAAATGATAGGAAACAAACTGAGCGGGTGGCCGGAGGAATGGGGGTCTCCTGGCCAACCTTGCTCTATAGGTACTGCCGTGGGGCTGCGGAAGAGCAATGCAAACGGCAGCGCTGCTTCTGTCTCTGTTGCAGGGGAATCGTGGAGGCAGGTTTCCCCGACAGCCATCGCTGGTAGAAAGACCACGGGCTTGCCCTGCGCTTGCAAGGACACGGGCTGCGTGACAAGCGCTGGGCTTGGTCCTTCTCAGCATCCCGAGCCCTCCTCTGTGAGCGTGGGGCTGGGGAAGGAGGAGGGAGGTGGGGGACGGGAAGGCAGCGAGAGCCTGGGGACGGGGGGCTGGTGAGGGAGGTGGAATGGGGAGTGTGGGAAGGTAGGCAGGGCAATATGAACAGAAAATAGAAAAAAAAAAAAAAAAAAAAAAAAGAGAGAGAAAAAAGACTGTGAAACGTAGCACGTGAAAAAGAGAGAGGTATCTACATATTCTCTGTATATACACTGTAGGGTAGCTCGTGTGGATGTGTATGATGGGTTTGTCTCCATTTGATATGATAGGTGCCGGCATTTGACTTCTGATGAAGGTTTAATGGCCTCAACCCCTGGCACAGGGAGCCGGAGGAAAAACTCCCATTGTAAAACCCAGCCTGGGAGATGTACGTACACTTGCAGTTTGCCACGAGTACATATTGATTAGGGCGACGATGTCATTTTGTTTTGTGCTGAACAATCCAGCATTTGGAATTGAGACCTGTCAGGACCCAAATGACTTAGCGGAGCAAATTGAAAAGAACAAGGCTGTAAATCGCAAGGGAATTCGCTTTGTGGCTAACACCCCGGCGTGCTGTGAGAAACAGGACTGCACGCAAACTGCCCTGCCATGCAAATCCCAATCAATGTGCTGACAAAGTATCCTGCTGAACCCTGGTGTCTCACTCAATATTTCTTAAAATAGGCATAATTTAAGAGGCATGAGAAGGCATATATTTTCACCTTAAGTGATGCGCAGATGGGAGGTATTGTGGAATTAATAAGGAGTGTATAGATGAGCTTTGTAGCATCTTACCGCATTTATTTCATATATATACTGCTAAACTGTATTTAAATGGCTGTAACTGAAAAAGGACCTGCTTGATATGTATAACACCATTTCCCTTCTCCAGTATGTATTCTGAAGTCAGAACAGTATTTTTTCCTAAGTATAACTCCAGGAACTGCCAGAAAAAAAAAAAGAGGTCGGTACATTTATTGAGGAAACCAGTGAACCCCGTGCCAGGGAGCTCACCTCGCCGTGCCGGACCCAAACCCCGTGCCACGGTCAGTCACTGCGCAGCAGCTCTGCCCTGCCGCAGGCTTCTGTGGCTTTTCAGCAGCCCCACATCTCTTTGTGCACTTCAGTGCCAGCAACCAAGCCCTGCCCGAAGGTCTTCCTCAGCAGCTCAGGTGTCTCAGGCTGGATTATCGTCCGTACAGTGTTCTCTGGAGTTGTCACCCAGCTCCGCTACCAACCACCACCTGCCCCTTTGTGCTTCAGCAAAAGGTGGTGGTTGGAGAGATGCTAAGGATTTCAAAAGGCAACGGCCAAAGTATTTTAATGTCTTGTATCTTTGCTGTTTAGTCTCGGGCAATGAGAAAAATCAGGAAAAAGGAGCAAACGCTCCAAGAGATATTTGATGTGCCAAAGGAACCTAGAAAATATTTGGAATGGTACCGATGTCGGTTGGGCTGATGGTTGTTAAAAGCAGCTCTGAGCAAGGAGGAGGGCATCTTGCAGAGGTGAAGCAAGGTGGCTTTGGCTGCTGTTTGTTCGCGCAGCCATTTAGGATGGCAGCCAGCTTTTACAAGCCTCCTGCTTGAACAGCAAGCCAAGCGTCGCTGAAGCAGCATCGCGGCCTCATTAGATTTGCAATGCGAACGGGAGTGAGAGCAAAGGAAGTTACACAGTTTAATGGAGGGGACTTTCCGGTGCGGTAGATATAATTTCAAGAATTTAGATTCCTGTCAAGCCTTGTTATCCCAGATCACGCTTCCTTAAATTCGAGATTCTCTTTCTGACCAGTGTGGCACGTTTCAATCAAGGGCAATTTGTCCTTTAGGTGAGGGGACCGGTGTCTCCCGCTTCCGCCCAGCGCCGGGAGGGAGCGGGCGCTGCTGGGGGCACTCGGGCTCACCGCGCTCCCCGGGCCCTGGAAATCTGGGGGGGGAGGTCTGGAGGTGGGGGTGAAAAGCGGGAAATGTACGGAGGAATTTGGACTGACACTTGACAACTTTCCTGTTTTGTAAATTCTAGAGGAATTTGAATTGCATGATATGTTTTCACTTGCAAATGTTTCAGATTTGTTATTCTTCCCTTTTCCACATATTTTAAGCTTATAGCATTGCCTAATTTTTTTTTTTTTTTTTTTTTCCCTCTGTCCTTGCAGAGGAATTCGCGGATAGCAACATCTCAGGAATAATTCCCTTGCAACCGCAGTCTATTTCTAACTGAAGGCAAAATAATCCAAAAGATGCTAATAGTTTTAATTTCCAGTTGTGTAAGAGATGATGCTTCTGGAAAGGTGTGATCTTTAAACCTGTAGTAAACTCAGATGTCTCTCAGCAGAGCTCTGTGGGAGCTCCATGCCTGTTAGAGGAGCAAAACATTGGAGCTACAAGATTGTTTTGAACTACAGTACTTTGTGAAAGAGCAACTGGAGAAAAATAAGCAGATGTTAAACTGAAAGGACTGCAATGCAATTCAGTCCTGGGCTGGTTTATGCTAAGAACGGGCAGGAGAAGCCAAATGTCTAAGGAGGGCTGGAAGGGAATATTAGACAACAGTAGGAGATGTTTAGATAAACAATAAACAACCAGCTGAGCGCAAGGATTAAGATAGCAGTGGGAGAGAGACCTAAAAAGAAATGAAGGGGAAAAAAAAAAAAAAAAAAGATTGTAATGAAATGCTGAGAGGATCTGGTCCTCAACTTGTGCAAACTGGGTGAACTTCCTCGCAGCCAGGGATCCCCAGCTCACGGGACTGTCCCCAGCTCCCAGGGCAAGTAGCACACGGGCAGCAAGGAGCTTCTCCAAACTGGGAGTAGAAAACACAAGTAAAATTGAAACTCATAAATGTTATGGTGGGGAGGAAGAGAGAAGGAAATGGGCAGTTTTTTTTCTTAATGCCAGCTGGTGCCTTGTCTTTCACGGAAGGGGTGGAGGAGAAGGAAGAGGAGGATGTGAAAGAGGAGGAGGAGGAGGTTGGCTCTTCCATGGGAGAGGAGAAGGATGGAAAGCTGCTGAGGAAACAATTATGTTTCCTGGCATGATGTGATGGGGGAATTTGATCATCTCTCTGCAAAAATGTCTTTGCAAAAATTCTGTGCTATCCTGGTTAAAAAAAAAAAAAAAAAAAAAAAAGTCAGGAGAGCTGAGTTCTGTGCCCTCATAAAATGAGTGTGGCCTTTGAAGATCCTCTGAGGCAAAGCACGGTGAGCACAGCAGCTCTGCGCTGCGGCCGGCCCGCTGGGCGATGCACCGCAAGCAGCGACAGAGCAGTGATGAGACAGGGACAGTTCTCTGTTATTTTCTTTCCTTCCCTCTTTTTTTTTTTTTTTTTTTTTTTTTTTTTTTTTCTTCTTCCTTTTCATTACAATCCGCTGCTGGAAATACTCCTAGGATACTGAAAATAAACAACATCTCTTTCCCCACCATTTACCAAACGCTGCTTCTAATTTACGGCAGGCTCTGCCCACCTCCGGAGCGAGGAGACCCAGAGATGCCACCTGCCCCATCTGGTGGCTGCCTCCCTTCTGCACATCGGGCTCTGCAATCACAGTAAAAAAGCATTTCAGTGGGAAAAGCAACATTTCCACCTTCTTCCACTGATTTAAGCCTTCCTGTTAATGGCACGCATTTTCCTTTCCGCTGTGTGCAGTATAAATCCAGTTTTAGCTTTGTGTGATGTTCATTGGGCTCTGTGGGCTATTGTGGAGTTATTCCACTGTTGTTGAGAGAATTTGGATCCCTTCCTATTATTTGTCTTTATTCTAGGGAATAAACAGGCCGGCATTTTCTGCAGATGTGCCTCCTCTACCGAAAAAAAAAAAAAACCACAGCACCAGAAAACAGTATAGGCATCAAAGAGAGAGGTGGAAACTTATTCTGAAAATGCCACGCTGGCTTTTCTGAAGCGATGGTGTTGATATTTTGCATTTACAGTATCAAAACCACGGTGTGTGTCTTTCGGGGAGCAAAGCTGTGGGGCGGGGGGCTTGCTGGGGGTGCCTCCCCGGCCACCCCTGCTCCTCAGCTGCCAGGCAGTTGCTGTTCTTGACCTTCTTTGTCTGGGAAATTCCTCCCAGTTGCCACTCTTGCTCCCCTCTTGTGTTTTATTTAGAAAAATTTGATTGCTATTCTGGTGTCCTATGATGCATGTGATCTGGTCGCCGTATTTAACGTACCCTTGGATAACATTTAAATATGTAACGGCGAACCAAGCTGTGATAAACCTCTCACAGTGTCGAGAGCAAGCTCATTTACAAAAGAACTTCGGTAGGAATTAAAATAAAATTTCCATTTTCCACAGTTACATTCTGATTCTAGTTGTCATTAACTTACTCAAAAACCCATTTGGTATTTCAAACTTTAGTAAATCATTGTGTCTTCCAATTAACTTTCATACTCCAGACAACATAATGTGACTAATTTCATTCAACTCTGTTGTTTAATAAACATCTAAACAATTCTTTATTTCTGAGCCACAAAGAAATGTGCAGTTATATTATATTGTGCACGCGGTAATGGCCAAAAGGAAAATTACTGAGGAGAAATCCATCGTGGTTCTTTGGTTTATCGGCTTCGGAGGAGCCGTGCTGGGTGAGTGATGGGCACGGCCAGGGAATTAGCTGGCCCTCCCTCTCGCACACGCGGCATTATTTTCAGGGAGAAAGTCTTGCGCGCTCGTACCAAGCCTCGGGATTTTTGGCTGCCCGAGCAAAGACGCTGCGGGGGGCAGCCGGGTGCTCAGCAGCCCGGAGGGTGCAGTGGATGTAGCGGCGACCCTGAGCTGTGATTATTTCCATCAAAGAGACGAGTTAGGGGAGCTGGGACGCTGGAACAGCAGCGGGAGATGGGCTGGCGGACTCACACTGCTCTGGGATCAGCCCTGTGCGTGCACAGCGGGCCAAGCTGCGCTGAAGTAGTAAGACCTATTAAAGTGACGTGAGCTGAACAACGCTATTTCAATAACAGAACTATGATATTAAATTATTTGGTATTTAAAAACGGAGAGAAGATGGCTGTCCTGATCCCCGTGCCCTAGCAGATGCTGGTGCAGCATGGCCGTAGGCAGGCATGGAGAAGGGTAGTCCATCTCAACAGAGGTTTCCTCACCGATGCTTTCTCATTGAAACAGGCAGGTTTTTAAAACTGGCAGTTTTTACAAGGTGGTCAGTGCATGTGTGACTTTTTCTGCTGGTATAATTGCAGAGGGCTCTGTGTGCTCACGGGGGGATGCGGTCCTGCACGGCCGCTGTGCCTCTGTGGGAGGGTGCTGAGTGCTGGTAGATGACCTGTAAGAAAATTATTAGCATTGAAGAAATGTCATTCTTCCTGATTTTTCATTATGAATATTCTCTCTAGGAGAGTTTGAGCAGACATCTAATCAGAGAGGAGAAAGACTGCTGTGTAACTTATCAAACTGATCCCACTTGAGTCTGAAATTTTAGCATCTGTGGCCTTCCCAGCGAGCAGAGCCTCTGAGATGAAATGTGCTAAATCCATTCAAATAACTAACGTCTTTGAGGAACACGAGCTCCTCAAAAGTTTCCTGGAGCAGAGAAGCAAAAAGACTCCATCCCTTGAACATTTTGCTAATTATTGACCTAGAGCCAGGCTGTGGCGTGCAGACCCTCTGAGATGGAGGATTTCTGTGGTTGGCATCAGTCAGTCAGGAGCATCACTCTAAACACGTTCTGAAAAAACCTTCTGGTCCATTTTATGCCTAAGAGCAAAAATGTGTGTACGTTCATAAATTAAGGAACTACAATGCTGAGTTGTGGGAAGATGTCTGCAGAGTCAGTGCTGTAGCAGAATGCAAGCAGGCCATACTGGAAAAAACAAGGCGTTTGTTTAGTGGCAAATGCTCTGATGTTTTTCTCAAATGTGTTTGCAGAGCCATTAAAAGCGATGTTTAATCTCTGCTCCATTTGCAATCTGATAGGCATTATGCTTCTTCTGCAAGGAGCAAGTGCTGTTAATGGCACGGGAGGGCTCTGCCTCCGCTCTCGGGAGGCAGGACCAAGTCTCCCTGTCCGGGGACTCTGGAGATGTCTCTGAAACCTAAGCACGGGGCTAAACGCTGTTACGTGTTTGTGTGCACCAAACACATGGCAGCGCTCGTGTCTGAGCGAAAACTTCCCTGAATTAGTAATGACGTTTGTAGTTTGGAGGTACTCAAGTTCAGGCAGCATGTTAAAAAATGAATCAGGATTTTAGGTGATTTCTGTCTGCATGGATGCTCAGAACTGCCTGAAAATTGTCTGCTAACGCTGCTTCAACTTGTGTCTCTAACAGAGGTGCTCACACTCCCTAAACTGTTTGGCAAACACTGGCTGTAGCCTCTCATCCTCCTGATTATATTCCATGTTTGCATTTCCTTGGTTATACAAAGGAAAAGCAAAACAGCAGCGGGCAGCACAGTTAAAGCAGGAATCACCAAGCTGGGATAGAGAAGTGACTGCGGCTCGGGAGGTGCCTGGCAGCGGAGCATCCACAGCTCCCGGGATCCCGGTGCCGCTGGGGCGCGGCGGGAGCTGCCGCGGGAGCAGGGCGGCTCGGGCCGCTCCCTTGCTCGCTCCCCGCCGGGTCTCTCCTGGGGATGCACTGATGGGAGCAAGCAGTCCAGCTCAGCACGGCTCAGGCTCTTCGGGAGTTTTCATTTTTGCCCTTTTCATTCACTTCATCGGGAGGATGTAAGCCAAGGGTTGATATTTTAACATTTAGCCTAATATTAACTAGGGGAATCAGGTGCGCCTCATCATGTTAAGGATATAAGCAATCTCGAACGGTCTGTTATTAATATGGGTGGATTGGCTGAAAACATTTTGCTTCAGTGGCTCTTAAGAATTTCACCACTCATTCCCAGTTGTTATAATACTGAGGTGCTGGGCTGGCGTCCACCCGTGCTCCTGCCCTGCGATGGCCTCGGCTGTGCCGCCCGCCGCAGCCCGGGGGGCCGAGCCCCGACAGAGGACTGATGGAACCCAGGGGACAGCAGGGCTTGAGAGCTTCAACGGCCCTGGCCCTGCAAAAAAAGCCCATGAATAACCCACTCACGCTGGCCCAGTTGGTTTAATGAGCCTGCTTCTAGAATAAAGATGCTTCCATAAATAAGTGACTATAGGATTGAGCCAAAAAACAATCACTAAGGTTTAGATGCAGCTCACGGGATCAAGAGATGTCCTTGGTTTTATTGGAAGCAAGGGAAAAAAGTCTATTATTTGCTGGATCGCATTATGTATCAAAGTGTCCCGGGTTTGAGTGAGTGGTGGGGTTTTTGGTAGCAAGGGGGAGGACGTGGAGAAATCGGGAGCAAAGCTGAGCCTCGGAAGATGTGAGGGGTGGGGGGAAGGTGTTCTCAAGATGTGGCAATGCTTCTCAATGTCCTACTCTGTCTGTTAAGTGTTGTTGTTAGTGTCTGTATTAAATTTATGTTCTTTTTTTCTTCCCCTAACGAGTCTGTCTTTTGCCCGTGACCGTAATGGGTGATTTACCCCACCCTGTCCTATCTCAAATCCCGTTTAACTTATTTTCTCCTTCTCAGCACTGGAGGGGAAGGAGGGAGTGAGCGGCTGCGTGGTGCTCAGTTGCCCTCCGAGCTGAAACCACGGCACATCTTCACTATATAGAGATCTTGGAAAATGTGAGTTAACCCAGTGAGGCCCTGTTATGCTGTTCAAGTGATGTAAGGATGTGAACTACTTCTTAATCTAAAAGTCTTTTATCAGAGAGATATTCTTGTAATTCTGGTGTTAGGTAGCAATATCGTGAAGATATTTCTGTAAATATGCTTGAAATGTATAGAAGGCAGCTCAGGGGAGTTGCTGAGGGCGTGCAAAGCTTTTCTGTGCGTCGGCAGTGAGGTTTATAGTGGTAGAAGGGCTGGAGAGTTTTGTACGGGTTTGGAATGGGGTGCTGGAGTCGGGTCAGTACAACCACAGTACAGGGGTACCTCAGGCACAGCCGCCTGGGCTGGGGGGGGCGCTGCAAACCCATCGCCCTCGTGGGGGGGCACAGTGCTTCCAGGTCATTTTGCCCTCTGAGGAACTCGGCACAGCAGAGGAACTCGCACCAGGATCTGCTGCCGAAAGCGGCGCCCAAACTTAAGGGTGCACCAAAACGGCTCTCGACCACTTTGCATCTTCAAAACGGCACTGAACCGAACCCAAAACGTCAGCCAAGGTGAGAAACCTCCGTCTGCTATGTGACAAGGCAGGGTCTGGTGTGATGGGGGCCGTTCCTTCGGCAGGAGCCTGGGAACATTACTGTCAGCCTAAGCAGAGCGAAAGTAAAGATGCAAATGGGCCTTTCAGATAACCTTCAATTCCATAAACTAGGAATGGCAAAAAATCATCAGCATCATATATTATTTTATATAATATATATTAGATACACTACATATATATAACATATATATTATATAAAATAATATATGAAATAATATCTAAACCAATATTATTAACAATAATAATAATCAATATATTCTTCTTATCATCATCATCCACTCACTTTAATGGGACCTGAAGAGCTCAGATGCTTGGGTAAGTTTTCTTTCACTATTCCCTTTTTTAACTTGGATAAATATCGCTTACTGGAGTTTTAGAAAAATAGATTGTGAGTGCGTTAGTGATAGGAAAATAAGAAGCAGTAAAAACGGTTGTTGAGATACTTGTACAGTGAGGAGGGAATTTTCAGAAGAGCTATAGCTGAGTAAATATGAACACGACCGATGTTTCCACTGAATAAATTTCTATTAGATTATTCCCTAATTATAAAGATTATTTAAAAGACAGAAGTTACAGAATAATATACACGAGAAGATGTATCTATTTCTAAAGTCCCTGAAACCATACTTAAATCCTTGGAGTTATTACTCACCTCTAACACAGTTCTCATCAACTGCAGTGTAAGCCTTAGAGCTGACACTTCAGATAAGCACATGATATAGTTCAGCCCTAAACCCCTTAACAGAAAATACATCAGGACTTACTGTAAAATTTCATGGAGGATTAGAGAAAATATTAAGTCAATAGTTCTTTAGTTATATGGAGCTTTTAAGGTAATCAATACTTTCCAGCCATATTAGCGCCTACGATGATGAAAGACAACATTAATATCCAACTCTTCTTTTTTTGGTGTATTTATGTATATCCTTTCTTTAGTCAGCCCTGCTAGAATCAATAGTGATACAAAGAATATGGTTCTTTTAAAAATGTCATCAATATTGATTTGCTTATTACTGCCAGTTTCAAGTGGAACTTGATTTCAGGACCAAATTTACTTCTTCTTATGAAAGAATTACCAATCACCCTAAAACTTTGGAGTACCAACCTGACTTTGCTTATTGTGATTCTCATGTTGAGCAGTGTGCTAATGCAGCAAAAATTATTTTAGGTTTAGTAAATCCTAAAAATAGAATGAATAGGATTCATTCTAAGAATTCTTTAGAATTACATGACATTTTATGCCCTCAAAGCCTTGTGCAGATGTTAATTAAATTTTATTGATATAATTCAGTCCTGAACTTATATGCATGCAGTTATTAATGATTTAATTATTTTGTCAATGGAGTAGATTCTTTGCTTTTGATTCTATTTCAAAAAAATGAGACAATCATCCTATGTACAGCCTTTAGGCTCAATCCCTTTCATTCAGGCGACTCAGGAATACGGTTGGTCAAACGTCAACGTTTCTGATACTTTGCAACATCCGTGTTCTTCAACGTACTTTCTTTTGTCTCCCACTAATCATCTGCTGGCCTTCTGTATTTCTCAGGTAGGAATCTGCTTAAAAATTCCGGGGGTATCTCAGTGTTTCTCTCTGCACATCTAGGACCTTGTTTGCGAGCTGCTCATTTCCCCGGTTGCGCAGTTCCCCGAACCGCTGATTTATTTGACTGATTGCAGCTTACAGTTCCAACAAGTCCAACCACCACAACAGAAATATTACAAAGTGCCTGTATCTCTTCACCTGTGATTGCCTCCACTCCAGAAACTAGTCCTGAGTAAGTATTCAAGAGAGAAACTTCCCATAAAGAAAAAAAAAAAAAAAAAAAGGTGCCCCGGGCACTAACGCTCTCTCTACTTCTGCCGTTGCCTCCACGCAAGGTTTGAAGTATGCTGAATCTCCAGGACTGCTGCACCCCTTTGCCCCCACCTTTCCCGTGCAGTGGAATAAGTTATTTTAGATGTGTTCCAGGGATTGCTGGATAAAGCGGGGTAAGCGTTTCCTTCGAGCTGTTCTCTCTTGTTAATGCAGTTTAGGATGCTGCTGGCTCCGGCTGGGCTTGCCGGCTCCCGAGGCGTCCTCCCCAGGGCTGTTCCCCTCCAGCTCAGCCCCCAGCCTGAGGTCCTGCAAGGGGTTGCTCCCTCCCAGGCGCCCGGCTTGCACATGTTCTGGTTGAGTTTGTACGTTTATGGGCAGTCGGTTCCTCCAGCCTGCTTAGGTCTCTCTGAATTCAAAGCGCAACGCCTCGTCCCCCCATAGTTTGATGCCATCTGCAAACTTGACAAGAATGCCTCCTCCAGGCTGCTGCTAAAGGTCTTACAGGGTACAAACGGGCAGTTGGGAAGGAAGGCTTGCCTAAAGCACGACTTCATCAAAGCACTGTAATAATTTAAATTAATGTCTCCGTTGAATGGCATCCTTTAGTTCTTTTGTAATTAACAGAATCATAAACATTGTCATGTAATTTAGTCAAGAGGGGCTGTGAGATCTGCAGTGTTTGCTGTACATACGTTGCAGACAATATGTGTCAGGGATTACTAACAGCAGGTCTGTTTAATGTAGCAGTTTTCTTGTTTGAACGTGACTTTTGCAAGCTATTGTTTCCAGCGGAGTGCAGGGTTTATTTGCATGCAGTGATTGCTCAGCTTCCAAGCGAGTGCCAACGAACGGAGAGTGGATACATTTAACTGATTATGGAATGCAGGACTGCATTATTTTGGATAGATTTAAATAACATTGGACTACAATTCTAATCTTGTTTCCAACCCAGTTGTACGTTCTGATGGACTTAGGAACCCAGACTCTTGCAGCAGTTGCCAGCTGGAATTTCCCTTGGAAATTAGCCCCCAGATGCCTTAAGATCAGCAAAGCTGTTTCACATAGAATTTGTCCATTTCTGACCCATTCTAAGGCAGCTGGAAGAAGGTCTCTTACTAACTACAGCCAGGTTTGAAAATGAAAGAAGACCCTCTTTAAAAATATCCCCGAATCCACTGCTTTTAGAAGGTCTACCGGGGAAATGTTGCAAAACTACTCCCAAAACCAAAATGGTCGGAAAGCACAGGAGAGTGGATGCACTGTGAAACCACTGAACCCTTTATGCTAAAATCAGTTACCCCAGCGGGTCTTAGCACAAGGCATGAAGCACTTGATATGAAGAAAATCAGCTGCAGCGCACTTGGAGCTTTGCCGACATGGAAACCTATGAATTAGCATCAAATTTCTAAACCGGTGTTCCTGGCTGCCAGTGTTAAAATCCTGCGGTGTCTCCAGACTATTTATGCAGAAAGTGCCTTTTTCTTATGAACGGTAAACATCTCTGAAATGCAACGGGAAGGCATCTCCATTGCAATATTGATTCTCGTTCCTCTCGCTGTCGTGGCTGGTCTGGGCTGAATACAATTAGATGCGATCCGAGCACTCAGGGGAAACAAGGCTGCTTTTCTCTAACTAAGCCTTTTTTGACTCCTAATAAATAGGGCATTAAAAGGGAATTATTCCATTTTGCATTTTATGAAATGGCTAGTCTTCTTCCATTTGAGTGTCAGACCCTAATGATAAAGTCAGTGAAAACATTTCTAGTCAGGCCTCTTTTTATTTCAATCCCTACTTATCTGGGGGAAGAACAAAACATAAAGAAACCACAGAAAACACAGCATTTAGCTGACCCCCCACAATACATCATTTGTACAGCTTTCACTCCATCTTTCCAAAAGGCCATTTAGCTTAATAGTCTCTTCCATTTTTCATTTCCTTATGTTACAGATGCTGGGGGGATGATTTTCAAAAGAACAATGGAATGACGTTTTACCTGACTTTGGAAATTAATTCACAGCGGTGGTTTAGCAGCCTCATGCCTTTTGTGCCTTAGATTTGCCTTCCGTAATATGGAATGGGTGGCAAGATACTTTATCAAAACAATAGAAAATTTAAAATGAGAGAATACATACAATCTTCTAGCCTACTGCGATTTTCTAAAGCCATTAATAAATTGCTTATGTGTCCATATTTGCAATAAAAGATTGACTACTTGAATTTTCAGAAATGTAGGCAAAGACAAAATGAATTGGCCTCCATTCTAGTTTGTTTAACTAAATGTCAAAATAATTTACAAAATACATTTAACAAACACTGAAGAAAACATGCCTGGCTGTATCATATATATTTAAGCCATGTAAGAACCTACAAGATTCAATTTACATGAAATAGAATGAATGAACAAGGGGGAAAAAAAATGGTATTTACCTGGAAGTTTGCACTGGAGTTTATTAATCTGCATCTCAGTACTGGTTGTTACTATTCTTTTTTGCCATTGATAATGACAGGTCATTAAATGAAGGTTAGTTCCTTGTGGAAGAGTTTGTTGACTTCTTCAGGGTCTTAAAATTTGTGAAGTGTGAAATCAATGACAAATTTTGAGGGAGGATTAGTGTTTTAAAATGTAGACCTTATGGTGACTTGAAACATTGTAGAAAATTGACTGGTTTATGAATGGCCAACAAAATTGCTGAAAATGTCCTTAAATACTCAGCCACTGAAGGAAATTAATCCTAAGTGGGACTTCAGTAGTAGAACGTCTACTTTGATGAATTTTTCATGCTTGATAGATAGTGCTATTCAACTAATAACGTGAATAACCTTACTATTTACAGGTAATTATCCCTATAAATGAGGTGTGATGGTTTGAAAACATCTGTTTCCTTTCGGAATCAGTGTACATCTGCCCTTAAACAAGGTGAAAATTTGGTGTGATAACTCTGAGGCCTGAATTGCTATTTTTTTTTCTGCAGTGCTGTATTCTCTGTAATTAGAGAACATCTTAAAATCTGATTACTGCATTTTTATGTATCACTGTGTATATTATTAGAATGTGTTTCCTTAATCTCTCTGCTTTATCTGATATTTTAGGCATTAAGTAAACCATAGGGTTGATATGTGTAAGGTTTTCTTAAAGAATTGTTTTATTCGTTTGCTTATGAAATCCTTTGATGGAGACATCGTTTTGAGGAGCTGTGCCGTAACCACTTCCCCCCTGGAGCCGCGGGGGAACACCCACGTGTTCATCCAGACCTTGGCTAACACACACCCGCCTGCTCTCTGAGTGCACAAACACAATAAAACTCTCAACTGAGAGCTAATTTGATGCCAGCTGAATATTCAGCTAGTGCTCTGCAACTACTGGTACTCAAATACCTGAAACATCTAGTGCAGAATAGGAATTTCCATTTTTTCAGAAGGTGTATTTCCCTCCCATTCCCAGCAGAGGTTTTCACCGTCACTTCATCTGAAGTACTTTAAAGCTGTTAGTCAGTTCAGCGTTTCACTAGGAGATTCTCTCAGGTAGAGGAATCCTCTTAATGTGATGGTTATGCTAGTAAAGAGAAGATACTACTCTATAAGTAGTTTTGTACAGGAGAGAGGTTATCTGGCAGAGGTTTCCTTATACATACAGTTGGCAGCAAGATCCCTTTTTTTCCTTCCAACAGAGAGGAAACCAGCAGCTGGAGGGATTTTAAACGTGGGGGGAGCAGGGGAATTCTAACACCTCTCCGAGGCTGTAACTCCCTCCCGAAGGGACTCGGCTGTACCAGGGGGACGTGATCACAGGTTCTCACGCTGGGAAGTGCCGCAAGAGCAAGACCGGGGTTGTCACCAACCTGCACGGCTGAAACCGGTGTGACATGAAGGTGGCAGCTCTCGTCTGTAGACTGGTGTGAGCTCGATCTAGCTGGCACCTTCAATACGAGTTGTGAGGCCAGATTCTCTGTGATTTTCCACCTCTTTCATGTCTCCCATGTTCTTCGAAGTGGCTGAAAAGCAGCTAGAGGTTTTGCTGCGATTTCTTTGAGAGTGTGAATGTTCTGAAGCATCACACCAGGAGATGGTAAAGAACATGTGAAGGCAGGTAGAAGGCACAGCTTGTCTTGCTGTGCCTAATACTCCATGACCTATGGGACCGAGGCTGCTCTAACCTGTGCGAGGCTCAAGGACAACAGAAATCCTGCAAAAGCACGAGCAAAATGACAACAGCAAAAGCATAAGAGCATGTCTAGAGTGTCTGTTCCTCTGCTCCAGAGAGTTTGCTCAGCAGAATTTGGCATTTATGTCCATTATATGTAGTTTATGTCCATTATATTGTAGCGCCTTTTTTTTTTTTTTTTTCCACTGTCTTTGCAGTGCAACTATCCTTGGATGGGAATGATGCAATACTCAGTACCGCTACTGAAAAAAAGCTAGGGAATGATGTTAACAATATAACTTTCAGCCTAAGCAACGGAGAAAGCCTAAGTAAGCAGGCTACAAAGAAAGTGTACTCAGTCTTTACTACATTTCAGTATTTCATGATGAAAAAACCTCAGAAGGGTCTTGGTTTCAAAGCCTTTGCTGTGTCTCTCACTCTGTCAATGTTAGCTCTGACTCTGACACATTTTCACTGCCATCATCTGCTGAGGTTATGCGCCTTCTTCCCCAAGACAAACTGCAGCCGTATGAAGCCAGCAAAAGCCTCAAACAGAATCAAGAATATTTTCCCCAGGATTAAGGACAATCATGGTAAGTGTCGCCATATTAACTCCTCAGAACCTTCCTGAGTGCTGAGTGATTTTCTTACATGGATAGTAGAAGTAGCATGCTTTTTTCACCAGTGCGAGAAAGATAGTACATTTAACTTATACTTAGTACTCTGTATTTTAAACTTAAGTCAGATTTATTAACTAGTAACCTCTATCCAAATGTATATAAACCCAATTGCATTATTTTACGTAATATATGGAAACAATTTCTTTGTCTCCATTGGTTGCTATATACATGTATAAAACTGACTCTGCTTGCACAGTGAGTAAGGCTTGCTGAAGTGAGACCTACATAAACTCCTGTTCAGACAGGTCTAGTTAGATCTTCTTCAGCAATACTGTCCAGAAATATATATACACAGACCTTTTTGTTAAGATGGGTGCTGACAGATCTGATAAGAACAATGGAGAAGGAAAAATAAATGTTACAGCTAGTAGTAAGACACAAGAGTTCCTCTTGTTTATGCTGGCTGAAGATCTTGCCACCTAATTAACACAAAGCCAACCAAAAACTTTGCTATGGAACAAATTAAAGGCCAGATCACACCCTTATCTCGGATAGCTCTTACTGCAGCTTACAGCAGCTGTGGAGATATCAGGTCCGCGCTAAGCTCCATCTGAAAGCTCTGGGCTCACCTCGGGGTGCCCCAGGAGCGGCGCGAACCACGGTGGTTTCCAGAGCAGGTTAAGGAAGCCCCATCAGAATGCATTTCTGTCAGGCTCTCAGATCAGCATGGTGTAAACTGGAGCTCTGCTCGGTTTTTCCCCAGTTTTCGCTCTCGTCCCCACTGGTGCTTCTGACAGTCTCTTTGGAGTGCAGTTCCCCACAGCCACAGAGGGGAGTGTTTGGAGCAGCTCCGGATCTGGCTTTAGGGCCCGTCTTTAATTTCCATCGGCAACTGTAAGGCTGCCCATCGACAGCACTGATTTACAGCTCTGTTTGTAAGAGCAGCAGTCACACAGGAACAGGTCTTGGCCCCTTTTCTCAGAAGGGTACACTCATCTCTAAGCTGTCTGGAAGCTCTGGATTTATGTAGAGGCAATAGTCCTAAAGGCTACCTAAAGGATGTGGGTCTCTGCCTTGGTATACTCTTCCAGCTAATGTTGCCTAAAATGGAGTTTTCCTCACTTTATATTCTTTTTATCGAGCGGAATTTCTGTTTATAGTCACATTTGCTTTCTGTCCCATGCTGTCTGTCACTTGTGTTGAATATGGGCTTTGCACACATGCCAAATAGTTTGTTACTTGGCGAGAGTTCACTGGCAGGAGAATTTGCTTCTACGCATAGTAATAGGCATGTTTGGCTAATAGGCTCTTTGTCTAAAAGCCTTTTGCATATTCAGAGCTGCTCATTTGTCACGCTAGCCTGACCTAGGCAGCAAATATTAAAAAAGAGTCATAAATATGCTCTGTTCTTACTAGAATGCCAGCTGAAGCAAGCATTAGCTGTTTCATGATAAACTAGTCATCTGCTGCTCTTTAACTTCACAAGTGTTGTCCAGCCACACTTATTTCTAGAATAGTTCTGTCCATCACTGATTTTTCTTTTGCATATGCAATTGCCTTACTCAGTTGTCTGTGTTTTCTTAAAGTGCATTTAATATTGAAATGGCCAACTCTGATGATGTAGTAGTTTTGGGATGGCAAATTTGATAACCCGGTATATGCAGAGCTGACCGCTTAGGATCTGTTCCGGTTTTACAATGAAAAGAAGGAATTTTTCCCTATTTGCTGGGGGTGTGTACCAGGGCCTTCGACTGGAAGTCCTGCACCCAGCTTCTGCGCTCACTTGAATGCCGTGCTCCGTGCATCAGCGGGCAGGTACCACCCGCATTACCTGGCACGTCTTCCTAATGCGTTCAACTAAGTTGTGACAAAGGGAGTAGTTAGTTCCACGGGTAACTTGAAAAGCCAGGAATTTCCTTGGGCATGTGGAGATGGCAAGTGTCTTCAGTATTGGGACTGCCTGGTTGTCGGTATGAAAATGGCTTCGTATATTTTTTATAACTGGCTTTTTTTGTATCTCGGGTATAGATTTTCTTTTTGTCCTGTAACTGCTTTCTTACTGCATTTAATAAATCGTCTAAAGGCTGAGAGTCACTTTTTATTTTGAAATACTTAGACATATTGCTTTGCTCTGCCTAGAACTAGCTGGTTTGGGTATATAACAAGACAATTTATTGGCAGAGTAGAAATCAATGGCATACCTACACAGGACTTTTCCTCTTTTAATTAGACAATACAGACTACTTTTTTAAACAGAAGTAGTCAAAACAGCGTTTTGCAGAAACACACAAAAACCTAATTTAAAGGGATTAGGTCAGAGATCAAACTTTTCTATTGTTTGCTGTGAATCCTGTAAAAATAGAAATCCCAGAGCTAACAGTGCAGCACAGCTGACTGATTAATTCTCACAAAGAAACAAAATCTGGAAAAGTGTATGTTACAGCACCATCTAGTGCCTCTTATCCCAGCAAGATAGTAAATCAATTTAATTTTCCACTTAATTCAAGTATGTAGGTGGAGAAGAGGGAGTGCATTGGCTGCTTATACATTCTGACAACTTATTTTCTCTCAACTAGTGCTGAGATAGAAGGGAGCTGAGGGATGTAAATAAGCTTTGGCATCTTACATGGTGAAGATTTTGTCAGTATAGCTGCTGTTAATTCCTCTTCTTTTATGCTCTCGCCAGTCACATAGTTTTTCCTCCTGCGGATAGTAGGGAGGTGGACACAGGCGTGCATATGCTGAGAAAATGGGAGGAAAAGTACTGCGATTAAATAGGAAACTGGCTTAATGGTGTATTTTGGGAGGTAGAGACGTATTTTTGGTAGACCGTATACTTTGTTCCGTGTGTATGAGCGACTGCCAGGTGGGAGGCTGGTGTTTGTTTGCAAACACCTTTTGTTTAGAGCTGCACCCGTAATTAATGTACTTGTCTCAGGTAACCAGCACCCAAGCCTTTGCTTTCTTCATCCCAAGTATGACCCTCAGCAATGCCAAATGAAATTCTAACTATTGCTACGTTTTAATATCCTTTACGTTGCTGTCCTTGTTTGTTTTTTTTCTTCTGGAAAGGTGATTAACATCCTCTGACTGCAGACTACTTCAAGGTTAACCAACAGCACCTTTGCAATTAGCCACTACTCCCAACCAGCAATTGCAAGATACAAAAGAGACAATATGAATTTGGGCATTAAATTCCACAAGGTCTGGTGGCATGGTAGTTACATTTTGTCTCTAAATCAACGTTCTTACAAATAGGGCTCCTAAAATAAAATGAAAACTCATCACAGCTGGCTGTGTGTATCTTTGACAAACAGCTGCTAAAAAGAAAAAAGCCCTTCATTGTATTCCGACTTCATCTAAATTACAGTAATTTGGGCTACTCACAGACAGATTGGCACTGACCAGATTAACTAACATACTCTGGGTTCTACACATATTTGCCCTCACCCAATTTAATAAAATAACTTGGAATTTACACAGTTGCTCTACAGTCTACAACCTGCTGCTTTCTGTCTTTAACCCGACCCAGGGTTAATACTGCTGGAAGACTAGGAAATGGCTTCCAGTGATTCCAGTCTGAGTTTGGGAACACACCACATGCCGAGGTGGATTACAGTGTGAGATTAATGATTCTCGCCCTCTTCAAGCTAAAGACTGCCTTTTGTGATAATGAATGTATATAGTTATATGTTAAATGTATTTTCTAGCAGGTTTAGGTTAAAAACCTAAAAATTATTCGTAGCTTAGCGTATTTAATAAACATCCTGACAGTAACATATAACCTAACAGAAGTCACATATCTCAAGAAAAAAATCTTCAGTGTCTTCACTACACCCCTGCAGGAAAGGCTGGTGGATAGTAATGTCTGTAATTTATAGTCAGAGACTAAATTAGAGTTAATGCTCAGTTTGGAGTTTTGGATTTAGATTTAAGGCACTAACTAGAATTAGACATGCTGCACACGAATATAGCTCTTAACAGCATTAAGGCCATAAAGAGATGCATTCTCATCCAAAATAAGAACTAGGGAACTCTTGGGGTTTGGCCCCAGAGTTTACAGTACTCATAATTTTATTATGATTACTACTGTATTTAGTGTTTCCTAAAAGAAACCCCAGCTCCTTCAGTCATACAAAATATTTGAGAATCTCAATAGCCATTAAAAAAAAGTTCTATCCCTCAAGACTGCAGGAACAAGCTTAAAAGTGTGACTCAAATGTATCCCCAGCAATTAAGTAAAAAACCAACAGAAATCAAAACAGATTAGCATATCAAAAGAAGCCAAAAATATTTTGCATAATGTTTTTTAATGAAACTCTGGGGTTGGGAGAAGTGGCTCATATTTTTTTTAAGACTTCAGTTTGCCAGACTGCAATCTAGCCTGACAACAAAAACATTTTATTTTTTTATTATGGTATACATAACAGATACAATACCCTGGAATTACGTATATTATAGTGACATAATGTGGAAAAAGTTATGGAATCATAACTTAATAATTTAAGTGATTATTGTATTCTCATAAATGCTTAATGTATCATCACATGCATGTTTGTGATACATTCTTCATTTGGCAAATGTGATATTGATTGTTGCTCTAAAGAACATAGTCAGTTCAGTATAGATCGTATTTTGAAATTTCCTACCCATGATGGGAAGGGAATTATACTGCTATTTATCTTTAAAATGTATTTAACATTGTTATCTAATAAAATTTTTCTGGAATAGAAGAAAAAAAAAATTAGTATTTTGCTTCCTGGCTAATCATTGGATTACTCTGTCACTGGTCCAGGGAGAGTATTACTGCTGAACTGAAATTGGACATATTAAAGAGAACAGTGGAAAGTACAGAATTTTGCTGTGCGAAAAAGGCCATATCTGGGAGAAAAAAAAAAAAAAAAAACAAAACAGGACTGAGGTACTGAGGAACTATGAAGTGCTTGGGAGCACTGTATAGCATTTAGTGGTTTGTAACAGCCTCCAAAGAATGCCAACAGCATTAAAAAGTGTTTTAACACAAAGGAAGACATCCCAGAGCCGTGATCTGACAGGCCGGTTTGTTTGGGGTTTTTTCAAAGGGGAAGGTAATGGTAATAAATGGTGAGATACAGCATTTGTTTAAGAGTTGGGCAATGCAGAGGCAGCCCCACCGAACTTACTTTTTTGGGTTTGTACCCCACCAGAAAGCAGAACGTCCCATGAGCTGTTTCTGGCTGTCACACCAACCTCATGTCAGAACAACTTTCCCATTCTAGCCAACAAGAAGTCTCAACCATTTTCTTTTAGTAGCACTATGAAACAGTTTTTTGATGTTTTTTTTTTGTTTTGTTTTGTTTTGGTTTTTTTGGTTTGGTGTTTGGGTGTTGTGGTTTTGGGGGTTTTTTTGGGTTTTTTTTTTTTTTTTTGGTTGGTTTGCTTGTTTGTTTTGGTAGGAGTTATTTTTACTAAAGTCTCAGTTCTCAATGAGAGGAAACTACCACTTGTGCACCAGCGAGGCACAACAAGCGCCATGCAAAGCACGCCTGAGATTTGGCACTCCAGAGGATGTTAAGCCATGGATACACCTCAAACACTCTGCCAGACACCCTGATGTTTTGGTTTTTTGGGTTTTTTTGTTTTTTGTTTTTTTTTTTTTTTTTCTGAGGCGGTCTGGCAGTAGCACAGCTTTTGAGGTGGTTATATTCGAAGCCTGTGCCGAAGCATTGGTGCGGCGGCGGGGAACCGGGGTTAGACGGGCCGGGTGGTGGGACAGGCTGGATCCGCAACAGATCAGCGAGGCCCAGCAGCACCCCTGGGAGCCGAGGTCTGTCCCACAAAAAATGGCAGGTCATTTCCACCCCCCTGCACCCCAGCGCGGGCTGCCCTGAGCTCCTCTCCAGCTCACACCTCCCCATCAGCGCGATCCGGCCTCCCTCAGCAACCTCTCCACCTGTCATAGCTTCGAGCTATTTGCCCCAAAGGTGTTCCACCATGGATTTTATTCACATCCGCCCCTTCTCCCAGAACTCTGAGGGGGCTCGGGCACGAAGCCCCTCAGAGAGAAGCGGTGCGAAGCTCCGGCGGGCTCTGCCATGGCCGGGCTCCCTGAGGGGAGGCGGCCCCCGAGGGACACTCACGGCCTCGTCCCCGCCGTCCTCTGCCACCCGAACCCCGCAGCCTTCCGCGGGGTGACAGAAGGGATCCGGGACGCGGGACGGAGCGGAGCCCCGTCCGCTCCCCGCGAAGGTGCCGCTAGAGGCCGCCGGACCGCGGCTCCCCGGTTCCCTCCGCGGCGGCGGCGGCTCCTCCTCCTCCCGCCTCTTCCCCCGCCGCGCCGGCGGCTTCCCAGGCTCCTCTCCGGGTAAACAGCGATGGCCGCCGAGGAAGGAGGCGGCGAGCCCCAGAACAACATGGGGAACCACCTCCAGCTGGTGCCCGGTAATGGCGGAGAGCGCGGCAGGCCGGGCTGGGTGTGTGAGGCGGCGGGAAGGGGCGGCGGGGACGGCGGTCCCTGGGGCGATGTGGGGAGCGGGGGCTGCCTGCCGCCGGCTCGGCGGGAGGAGCGGGGCTGTGAGGGGAGAAGGGGAGCTGGGGGGAGCCCGGGCGGCGGTACTGGGGTGGGTTTTTTGGAGGGGGCGTAGTAGGCGGTGCGGTGGGGCTGTGGGTTGCAGCCCGGGTGGGCTGTGGGTTGCAGCCCGGGTGGGCTGTGGGTTGCAGCCCGGGTGGGCTGTGGGTTGCAGCCCGGGTGGGCTGTGGGTTGCAGCCCGGGTGGGCTGAGCCCCGGGTCCTGCGGTGGGAGAGGAGGTGCTCGGCCCGCCGGTGCTCGGGCAGCGGGGCGCGAAACACGCTGTGAGGTTCCCACCGAGGTGGGCAAACGCAGACCCTCTTCTCTGTCGACTTGGGCCTCCGTAAAGCCAAGCCAAGCTGGAGGAAAACGTGTTCTTTTCGAAAGCCTTCACCCGGTTTAAATGCCCTCTAAAGCCGTCGATAAGCGGGGAAGCAAGAGGCGCGGTGCACCGGACTTGGGAGCGGTGTTGTGAAGCCGAGAATTCAGCCGTAATAGCTATTAAGGAGGCGTTCTTCCCTCTTCAGTTGGCTTCCACAGGCTGTCAGGCTTCTGCAGTGTTTATGCTGGACTTTGTAGGGCAGCCTGGCTTGCCTGCCCGCGTACGCCACCGTAATTGCTCATGTGGGTACCTATTGCATAATAACGTGCATTTGGCTGAGGTAGAATGTAGTGCCTCCAAACTGACAGATCGTATGGTTTTGGAAGCAGCTCGTGCTAAACTGGAAAAAACATTATTTCAAAATAAGCATGCAGGGGAGAACGTAGCAGTAAGTGCTGCCAGTAACCGATGTGATTTCCTATAGCAGGAAATTCAATGAGCGTTTTATGCCTGTATATTTAAAATAATATGAAAATAGTTGCTGAATATTTTAGGAAATACAGCCTTATTTATAAATTCATCCAGTGTTTTTAAAATGAGGTTCGTGTTTCCTCATTTCTGCACAGAGGTGTTGAGAGTAGAATTGTTAGTGTTAGTGGGCCAGCATGAACATCTGAGAACACCTAACCTGCCACGAAGGAAATGTGAGTCTTGGCATGCAGCATGCCTTTGGCACTTGCCTTTCCCTTGTTTCTGTGTGCGGGAGGTCTCGCTAATCTAGAAATAAAATAACAAAAATGTATAGTTAAGGGTATAAAAGATGCAATTTCTTTTGCTTTCCGTCTCCTGTTCCTGTAGTGTGATCGAGGAGGAGAGTGAAGACGGTGGTGTTTTTTCAACGTTCACATGGTGCTGCTGCAGTAAAATGAGTCATCGTTCCTACTCTGCCGCCACACAGCAGCTAGTGTGTGTTTTTGGCAAGAACGAGCAAAAGTTTGCAGGGCACAGTTCTTTCTAATCAACTGCTGTTAATTCCTTTTGTGTTCAGAAAAATAAGTGAAATGGCTTCTCTCTAAAAGGCTATTTAAACTGCTAATGATTGATGCAACTTGATGAGAGTACATGCAAACCAGAATATTGTTTTTGATGAAGTCAGCTTCCCTCCCCCACCCTGCACTGCTGCCCCAGAATCAAACAAAAACTTGCTACTCTTTTACTCCATCAAGCTAAGCAAAATACTGGTGGTTTTGTACGTATTAAACATTCTGGAATTGTTTATGGTTAGGGTTCCTAACTGAATATAATGGAAGAGAAATTTCATATAGAAACTGACTATTTTTTTGCAGTAATTATTGCTTTAAATTCTGTAATTAGATAAAACTCCAAAGAGAGTCTATAACCTCCTTTCTTGTCATGCTGGATCACTTCTTGTTGAGATAATACGGTACAGGATACAATATAGGAGGGATCCGTAACACCAGCATGTTGTGCTGTGCCTCCTACAGAAAAGGTTCTGTAAAGTATGCAGTAATTAAAAAAAAAAAAATGTGAAATAGGAGGAAGACCATTGTCTAAACATTTTGTAAAGAATACATTTAACGAATGTGTCTGAAGGCCAAAGAGGGAAAGAAAAGGTTCTCTAAAACCATTTTATAATGTCTTCTGCATTGTTCTCTTGTCCTCCCACTCTCAGAAATAGTAAGATCTTGATAAAGAGGGGGGTGGTGATCCCATTTCTGAAGGAAGACTCCTTTCTTTTGTAAGATTTGCCTACAGTACTTCTCAGATAAGATAATCTCTTCACCTTTTAAATTTCCAAGTCTGGATTGTTTCTTAAAACACTAATTGTGAAGGCAGGCAAGTAGCTAGACTATCGTTATTTTTCTGCCTATTTTGTAACGTAGTAGTTTTCAAGATGTAAATGATGTTTTTCGGCACCGTTGGGATTATCCATTACCCAGCAGCTATTGGTGTAAGAATCCTGCAGATTGCCTTGCAAAGTTTATGGTAACATCTGTTTTAGATATGGCTCAGTGTATAAATACTGTTTGTGTTAAAAGAAATAGGATCAAGTAATACAGTTACAAATGTGCGATAATTACATTGTATTTGTTTTGGATGAGTATTTGCAGGCATACGTTGTATGGTAATGCACAGAACAGTCAGCGGAACCGGCATTTGAGAGATAGGTCTATTTTTTATCTTCACTGTGTTTTTAAATGTATTTTAAAATAATATCTGCACGGATTTTAAACAGATAAATGCACTATTTATGTTTCCAAAATAAAATGTGCTGATAAGTGTCCTCTTGCCTGAAAGTAATTTTAGGATTGACACTTGGAACTGAGAAATGGGAAGAAAGTAGTAATTTTAAAATACTGTTTTGTACCTGAAATCCTTTGCAGAGTCGTATTATTTGCTTCCTTAGTAGTTGCCTTTGCTGGGTTTGGGCTTGTGCTGGGGTTTGTGTGTGTGTTTGGTATAGACACGGGAGAGGCTGACAGAAGTGAAATTGTCTGAAATACCAGCAAGAGTGTTTGCATGCATATAGAGCTTCAGATTACTTTTAACTCACTTGCTTTATGTGTGCAGTTATATTGTTCAGGTTGGTACTACTTCAAACGCTGCATTCAGCATCCTGCAAGAAATGTTATCTGCCGTCCCGGTGTACAGACAGAAGACATTTATAATTGAGATAAGGAAGTATTACTGTAGTGAAAATCTGAACTGACAGACTGTATTTATAATAAGTTGTTTTATAGCCTTTCAGAAATAAATTACCAGCTTTTGACCCTTTGTGTAGAACGGTGATTTTGCTGTAACAGCAAGAAAATTATTTTTCACAAGTTTACAAATACAAAAGTTGCTTCCCTGTGAAAGGCTGCAGTCTGGGAATACTGAATGCCTTTCTGTGATTATCAGATTTTTTTCTCAGTATCTTAGTTTTTGGTGATTGATCTCTACACAATACTCTATATGTGCTTATTAGCAGAGAGCGAGGAAGAGGATGACAATGAAATGGATGTTGAAGATCAAGATAGTAAAGAAGCTGAAAAGCCAAACATCATTAATTTTGATACCAGTTTGCCAACATCACATGTGGTAAGTTTTTTGCATGTTGTCCATTAAATACGTCTTGAAGAGGTTTTGATTGGGTTTGTGTAATTCTGTTGTAATATCCTTAAGCCAAAGACCTAGTTTTATTTTATCCTTATAAATCACCAAAGCCCTTTATACTACTGTCATTTCCTTACTTATTGTTTTCAGTATTTAGGTTCTGATATGGAAGAGTTTCATGGAAGAACGGTGCATGATGATGACAGCTGTCAGGTGATTCCAGTGTTGCCCCACGTGATGGTGATGTTGATTCCTGGACAGACGTTACCACTTCAGCTTTTTCACCCTCAAGAGGTTAGCATGGTGCGGAATTTAATTCAGAAAGACAGAACGTTTGCTGTTCTTGCATACAGGTAAAATACACGAGTGAGTTTACTTATGGTTTGCAGCATGTATTTTTAGCACAATTTCTTTGGATACTAAATCAAAAGCAGATGGTTGCATCAGTTCTGTGGTGAATAACATAAGTTGTGGTTTGAAATTATTTGACAAAAATTGTCTTCCAGTAGGCAATGAAAAGGTTTTCATGTCATACTGGTTAGTTGCTTGACAGTATCACATGTTTGTGTAGAGAAACAGTAGGTGTTGATCTACATTCCTTGTTTGAGCATCCTCTTGCTTTCAGTAACTGTTTGAATGCATTGCTCCATCTTGCTTAAAGAACAAGTCTTGATCAGAAATGTAAAAATCAGATTCTTGTTCTGAGAACTGCGTTGTTGTAAAGGTGTATTTGCTTGTTTTGTGTATAAATTAGCAAGCACGGACAAATGTTTCACAACTGAGTTGAGACACAAAAGGTGATAGCAAAGCAGAAAAGGTAAAGGGCAATCTGTACCGCAAGAAGTTGGGAATGTTCCTCCTTCTTCCCCAATACACTTCCCCCACCCCCCCCACCCCCCCCCCATTGTGCTATGGTTTAATTATGTATGAGGTAGAAACAGTTATTTTTATAAAGTCAGTCTAAAGAATTTTGGTGCTTTCAGTGTCTGCATTTGAAAGGCAGATACATTGGTGATCCCTGTGCTCCCAGAATTTCACCTCTAGGCCCTAAAATAAAACCAAATCAACTGGCAAAAACCCCAAACCAAACCAAACATTAGAAGTTGCTTTTAAAATGGAAAAATAATGGCTGTGATTAGTTTGAAGGTATTTTACCAAATTTACTTTTTTGATAAGACTAATTGTGTACAGTCAGTGCAGGTAGACTAACCTGCATAGTCTGAATGAACAGTGCTGTCTGGAGGGTAGTTAACCTTTTTAATTCTGTTACTTTTAGTAACGTACGTGAAAGGGAAGCACATTTTGGAACAACAGCAGAAATATATGCCTACAGAGAAGAGCAGGAATATGGAATTGAAACAGTCAAAGTGAAAGCAATAGGAAGACAGAGGTTCAAGGTGCTTGAAATAAGAACACAGTCAGATGGGTAAGAAAATGATGTATTTATTTCTATGTGCTGCAAATCTTGCTTCATCAAAACATTTACATTTTACTGCAGGTGCATCGTTCAGTCACACAATTGTCTAATTACTACAGATATTAACTGAATGCTTAATCAGTAGTTTCTCTGGTTATTAAGGATTTCTGACATTTCCTGTTCTAAGATTCATGTTTTAGTTGTTAACAACTTTGCTATAGAATTTTCTAAAGAGTATCTACTTGTAGTTTGATTCGATGTGTGCGAGAGAACATCTGTCAGAATGACTTCGTTTCTGAAAATTAAGTCAGGGAAAAGGTGTTGATTTGCCTGCATTATAAGTTCTAAAACTTTATTTCAAAATCTCTCACATTCCTGTTTCAAACCAAATGTGAAATGAGAGGATAGAGCATCAAGCATGTGCCTTCTGTTGACTTGTGGAAAGCCTCTCCCATAGCGACCTGATTTCATTCCTTTGAAAAAGGGTAACTTTCATTTTCTGAAAGGAGACCTTTCTAGAGACAGTCTGCATTGGGCATGTCCCGCTTCATAACTTTATGCGCAGTTGCAGCTCTGAAAGGCTGCAGGCAAGGATCTGACACTACAGCTAATAACAGTATGCTGCTTTATTTTGGCACTTTGAGTGATCTTTAACTACTGAGCCTCAACAGCACGCAGAAGGCTTCAGCTGCACGGTTCAGATATGGAGAGGACAGGAACTGCCCAGAGGGGTGGTGGTTTTCATGAGAAGCTTCCCATGTAAGGGAAGGACTGAAGACTGATAATAATAATGGAGAAACAAGTTGCTTTTCTTGTTCATTTTTTCCTTTGTAAGATATAAAAGCACACTCAGATTTTGTGGATAATTATCTGAATATGAGAACAGGTTCTTGGTTTTTGCTAACTACAAGCAGCCCATCATGTTAATTACCTCAAATACTGAATCTTGTTTATTTTAACTGTTGTCAGCTTAGTACAAGTCTTCACTCTTCCTTTCTGAGTGTTCACTGATACTTCACTGATAGAAATGTGCTACTTCTGCTGTTATTGGTTGACAATTTTTTTTCTGTGCTTGTCAAACACGCTCAAATCAGCTCTGATAGCAGTATTCTCTTCTATATTCCAGTCCTGTTCTTTTCCATATTCCAATGTGATACCTGTGATATTTAGAGGCTCCTCTTTCAGCCGATTTTATCATATTATGTAATTAATACCTTTGTCCATTTATGAAAGTGACTATGACCTCTTTAACACTTAGTTAAGAGTATGCTGAATCTGCTGTCATTTTCAAGTTCATGACGTCAGGCTCTGCACCGTGCATTGCATCATGAGCCTCTGTCAGCGTTGCTGTCCAGAGATACAGGCTCTAGACATTGATCCCATGAGCATGTGATGATTGTTAGCCCAATTTCTAGAGGTTTTTGTAATCTCTTCTGCAAGGCCTATAACATCTTACTCCAGATCTGTAAATCTAAAGCTAATCATCTGTGTTCTGCTATTGTTCAGTGTAGAAAGAGGCCTGGGAAAGGTCTGAGCGCAGCATTTTTGCATGCTTTTATGACCTTCAGCTGAAGTGAAGAATATATGTGCTACTTGCTATTTCTCACTATCTAGCATTTGATTACAAATAACATATTCCAAATTTCACAGCTTAGAAAAACCATTGCTTGAACACAAGATGGCAGTACTCGGACGACTACAGTAACAGCAGCATTGTTACTGAGAATTCAGTATCCAGAAGCAGTTAAGATGTACAGTGATTTTGTTGTGCTGTTAAAGCATTTTAGTATGATGATTTTATATCTGCTAACTCTCAAAAATCACTTTTACAGAGCACATTCACAAGTTTCATTCATAAATATGAATTTTTAAATGTATGAAATATAGGAGGCGAGGTAATTTTTCTCATCATAGTGAGCTCTAGATTCGTTGGAATAACTTAAACTATATAGAGTTACTCTGTTTTCATATACTGCTCGTTTTGTGGGTTTGGGGAGTGATTAGTGAACTTGAACCTCCTAGTATTGTCGGTGCACTTTGGAGACATGAGCCTACGTTCTTCGGTTCATCCTGAGGAAAGGATCTCCTCTGCAGGTCAGGAGATGCTCTCCAGATTCCTGTGCCAACGTACTAACTCTTTCTATGAATGGGCCTGGTAGCATGGCAGTTTGCTGCCACTTTTGTCTGTACATCAGAGGGACAGAAGAAGGGAATGTGACAGAAGAAGAATGTAATGTTCCATCTGTACAGATACAACTTTTTCATTAAGATCATGTTCCTAATTTTCACGTATGCAAGGTGACTAACAAGAGAAACAAGCGTTACCAGTCAAAAAAGCCTTTTTGATAAAGAGGGGAAAAAAGTGAGCTGCTTAGCAAGACAAAAATTTCCATAGTTACTGGTGCTTCTGATTACTAAGTGCTTATGGCAGAACATCATTTTATAATTTATCGTAAGTTAACAGAGTTTGGTGTTGTCCCTGTAAATATAACTGGAAATGGTTACATCTCAGTATTTCAGGAATTCTGATGCATAATATTGTTAAAATGTAAAGTCTTTCCTGCTAGACAGTATTCTTACTAGTCATATAACTGTTGCTGAACTCTCTGCGGAATAGGTGACCTGACTGATGCTAGGATATTAAAGGATGATCAGATTCTATATCCTATTTCTGCTGATTTTGAACTCCAGCTAAGCACATATAGTTTTGTGGTTTCAAGATAGCAAACTGCATTTCAGCTAAACTTTCTTTCTGAGGCTTTGATATGTAATAGCTGACTATTAGTTTATACCAAAGTAACTTGAGGAAACAAAAATCTAAAAATACAACGCTGAGATGGTAGAATATTCTGCTGTGTTGCCACTGCCAATCCGTCTTTAATTCTGTCCACCACCATCCCAGCAGATACCTAGTGCTCTAAAATACAGACAGTCCATTGTGTCCCATGGAAAAGGTAGCTAACTGTGAGAGGTACTGAGGAAAAAAAAAAAAAAGTAAAGAAACTTGGCTGAAAAAGTTAAAGCAGTGACCTTTGTAGAGTTCTGTATACCAGTACAAAAAATATTTGGAAAACAGCTAAGTCTGATTTTTAAAAGAAAAATACAGATTGCTTCTGTCTTCAGTTTAGGTAGACCAAAGTCCAGTCAGCACAGTGGCTTTAATAATTCAGCCAGGGGCATGAGATAATATGTGTTCTAGGGTAGTATGTGTGTGATTTGCTACAGATACACTGTATGTTCCCTCGGGTAATTTGATTTACATTAGTACAACTTTGAAAATCTGGTGAAATGTATTGATGCTTAAATTCTACAGTATTATGTAGTGATTAGATCTACTACACAAACCTATGTTTTTATAAGCAGTAAAATCCATTTTTTCAAACTCTTGTATATGTGTGTATGTCTCATCTCTTTTTTTTTTTTTTTTTTTTTCTCTTTTATCAGAATCCAGCAGGCTAAAGTACAAATCCTCCCTGAGCGAGTGCTGCCTTCAACAATGTCAGCAGTACAGCTGCAGTCTCTCAGCCGATGCCATATATTTCCTTCCTCCAAACCTACAGCATGGCAGGACCAAGCTATACATCAGTGGTGGCAGAAGTATCAAAAGGTTAGGAGCTAGTTGTGGGGTTTTGTTTTGTTGATTTTTTTTTTTCCAAGTTTTCGGTGGTATTTTGAAAATCAGTATAAAATTCCATCTCTTCATCTTTAGAAGAGGATGCACAACTGGGATGCTGGATACCAACCTCCTGCTTTTGTCACATAGTGTGATTGTTTATCAGCCATCAACAATGGGGAGATGCATGTTTTGTATTAGAAGTTCTCTTTGGTTTTAATTACAGTATTATTAGATTAATAATTCATATAATAATGCATTGCATAATGTTATATGAATTTTTTTTTTTTTCAATAATTAAACACCTCAGAGTGCTGGTTGGTGAAGCTTGTAGATGATGAAGCGTTGGTGGTAAAAACAGTAAGTTTATAGGATTTCATTTATGGGCAGATCAAAGAAGCATCTTAACTTCTACTGATGTTGCTTTGACAATACAAATATTAGCAATCAGTATTGACGGTGCCAATGCTCTTTCTTTGTACATATCATAATGGTTTGGTTTTGAAAGTAAAGAGGCTTTTGTAACTGTTTTCTCTGTGACTGACTGATTTGGGTAGAAGAGGTTTTTGAAGAGCAGAGGTGGTTTAGAGGTGACTCTCAAATTTCAGCAATGGAACAGAAGACCCGTGATGTCTTAGTTGTTTGGAATCACAATTCCATTTGCTAATTTTGCTTTAAAACCTGCATCAGTTAAAGAATTAGCTTCTGTACCTCCGGTTACTTGTTTACAGAAAATGTGGATCTGGTTTAGAATGACAGACTCTAGCTTTTTTTAACTTGGTGAGATATTCCCACCCAGATGACTGTTGGCTAACAACTAGGCTATACATTATGGTTTTGAGCATGCTTTATGTTGCACTTTCATCTTGTAAATTTTTATATAGCATATATCTAACGTTCTTGATAATTTTTGTGCTTAGTCATTATCTTTGTCAGATCACAGTATTTCTATACAATCCGCTTATTCTGGCCAATTGCACACGTATTTCTAAGTCTTTTTTTTTTTTTTTATTTACTGGATTTTGTTCAACAGTTATACCTTCTGGGATAGTTAATATATAATCCCACCTTCCCCCCCCTGCCCCCCTCCCCCTTTTTAAAATTTTTTTAAACTGAATTTAGAAACTTTTTTTTCAATTTTATTATGGTGCTAAAAGTGACAAGATAGGAAAGGGTCATAGAAATCTCTAATTTTTTTTAATGCACTCTCCCTGTGATGACATAGTTATTAGTGGAAGACAGTTATTTTACACACAAAGTGGGTAAATTATCAGTTCCATCGTCTTACTGGTTTTATTTCCTAGAGCTTTTTTTGTAAGTATGCAGACTTTACACTTCTTTAGAGAGCTTCCAGAATTTTTACTTGACTCATATTTAAAAAAACCCCAAACACTAAAAAACCAAATGAAACCAAAAAAGGTAGAGGAGAAATAGACGCTATGAGGATGTTGGTATTGTCATTAGGGAGTTAGGTTCTACTTCCCTATTTTTGTTTCACTGGCACAAATTCTGTCTTGCTTGTTTACACTATTTTTGCATCACTGCAGCTGTGACAGTACTTGGAATCAGGAGGGAATTCACACTGAGATCTTAGGGCAGAATTTCAAGAGTCCTCAGTGGCTGATGCCATGCCTAAGCTACAAACTTTTGCATTGCTCACGGGAATAATAAGGTGTGATTTGTGTGAGAGACAGCTGTGCAGTTTAAAAGGTGCTAAAAGATGCCTTTATACAAGTGAATGTGCACTTTTACCAGTGTACAGCGTTTTCCTTTAGGAGTCTGAAATAAAACATACTGTCAAAACGATAATTTTGCTGGAATAAATAATGTTTCCCATGATAAGCACCATGCTAGCGTATCGTACTAGCGTAGTTATACCAGCAAAAGCCTCAAGTGTAAACCTAGCTCATTCTCAGGCACAGTGCAGGCCTTTCAAAGACCAGCTATCACTAACAGTGGACAAATATGCATAGTAGGGTTAATGGGACAAGAGGCAGCACTGAGCTCAGTCAGAGAGGATGTGGTGGAACAGGGGAACCTGACACTTCTGGAAAAATGAAAATTGTGGCTTGCTTATTTGTTTGTTTCTTAACCCACTGTATCAGTGAGTGGCATATAAAAGGAAGGATACCTTTGAAGTCTCCTGTATCGACAGAGATCTTTGGAACTGCCTCCAGAAATGCATATAGAACCCTAGTAGCTCTCCTCACTGTCAGATGCGGTTAAGGTTTGATTTTGTTTTCTTCTTCAATGGTTTTGAACTCTGTAACCCCAAAGAAACCCAGCCAACCAACCAAAAAGCGCCATTAATAACAAAGAGCTATTGATTCTCTGAGTTCCTCTACGAGTTAACAAGCTCAGAAACACTATGCTTTGGGGGGGTGCGGGGGTGGCAGGAACCCTTTCCAAGCCTGATTCTCTCAGCTGGTAGCTGAAATGCAGTGTACTGGCTGTAACAGGTTTTGTGGATTGAGATGCAGATCCAGAGTAGGAGCGTTGTCCGGGTGGCCTCCGTCACTCTGCTGATGTCGGTAGGACTGTGACTGTTTTTCCAGCACGAGGGGCTTGGCCCTCTCTGCACTCACTAGTATAAAGAGAAACATCAGAAAATGGAAATTGCCATTTCAGAATGCTTTCTGCTGCATACAAGAGCTGACCCTGTGTCAGCTGTTACAGAAAATATACTTTGCTAATTAAAACAGTAACTTGAGTTTTAGTGGTCCTGAATTCTGCCTTCAAAGTACCATTTATTTGCCGTGGATTTTAGTCTCTGTTGCCTGAATCTTCTCATTTGTAAAATAAGGATAGTTGCCCTCAAAGGGAAAATTAATTTAATTTGGAAGTATTTACAGTACAATTTGAGATCCTCTTTTGGAAAGCAATGTGGTTATGTACTATACTCCTTTTTAGATTTTTATTAACTTAAACCTATAAATTGAAGTGGTTTGAAGTCACTGTAGAGAATTGGTTAACTAAGCAAATAACTGCTGGAAATTCGATGGTTAAGGAATGCAGTTATAATCTAGGCTTTCTTGTCTGCTGGATACACACAAATTGGAGATTTTTTTAGAGGAGATATTGGTGGCCACTCGTATTTTGTTCCTCCAAATTGTTCTGTATTCTAGTATAGATATTTTTGTATGCAATTCAGGTGAATGTGTTAGTCATGTTCACAGTGAAGTATGGTACAGTAGCATGGGCCACTCCTATTATAAACACTTTTTTTTTGAAAGAATACCCTTCAATAAAAAACAGGAGACCTTCAGGGGATTTTTTTTCTGTTTTTGTTTCCCTTCTCCACATTTGTTTCTTACTCAATGCTCCATTTAGGTCTGAATTGTTCTTCGCTGGATGTTGTTAAAAGGATATTTTACAATATTTTGTTCACTGTCTTTGGATAGTTATAATAAAGCTGTTTAATAGCTTTTCAGTAGGTTGGCACAAGCATTGATGTTCAGTGAGCATTTCTGAAAATGTGATTTTTCACTAAAAATAGATACCAGACTGAGAGTGGATTGCAATATGCGATTAAACATCAAGACTGCCCAAGTTTTCTTAATCAGTAATTGTTCTGCTGTGAGAAAGCATCCTCCGGAATTCCTAACTTGCATGTTGGTATTTTTAGTTAGGTGTTAAACAAATTAGTTTTCCATTTAAAAAGTATAATCATACATGCTTTGAATTTGTATGTGTCAGCTTAAAATAACTGATACGGCCCATTAATCTCCTTCTTTCATTTTATTTACTTATGCATCTGACTAAATTGATATGAATAGTTTAATCACCTCACATCATTGTTTGCTGTGGTTGCTGAAGTAGCCACAACTGACGGAGACTAAGGAACAGATGCACTGTCTAAAAGTACTTACATATTTTCAACTGTCTAAATTTCAAATAGATGTTCTTTTGAAAGGCATAATTTCTTATTACTAAGCATTAGAAATACTTTTAATGCTGAGGCAGGTTTTCTGAGAAAATCTGTATATTGTCTGTCTTGTACAGAAGTCATAGCTCTCTGCATTTGAGAAGTGGCTTGGAAGCTGCACATCGAAGTACTGGTCCTAATGGTGATAATTCGTTTTATCTTTAAATAGTCAGGTCTCTCTCCTTTGTTTTATCTGTTTGAACAAGAACTGTCCCTAAAATCTGCTAGCGTTAAAGAATAAATATTTGTGGTTTTGGTTTCAGAGGAAGTTCCACTGTGCAAGTTTGACATCTTGGCCTCCCTGGCTCTACTCACTATATGATGCTGTAAGTTCACCCTATATACGATCAACTAATCTACAATTGGCTTTGTATGTTTTAACATCTAATTATTGGCTAATGTGAAAGCTTTCATTTTGCTGGCTCATAAGTTACATTTTAAAGATGCTTATAGTTTTCTGTTCACTGTGAGAAGAGCAGGAAGGGCTTCCCCCTCTGCACAGTTGTTCCCTCGTGCTAGAGCGTATGTCTGGGGTGGATAACAGAGGTTCAGGTTCCTGCTGAGTTCTCTCTGAGCAAAATCTCAGTCCTCTGTCCCACATGCTCCAGGTGAGTGTCCTACCCATCAGGGTGCTGGATAGTCTTAGGTCGGTCTGTCCTGTTGGAATTAGTTTACTCTGTAAAAAGTACATATTTCTTTATATACATATGTATTTATATATATGGTACAGAAAGTAATTGGTGTAAGAGAGGCAGAAGTAGGGAGGAGGCTAGCCCTCATCTTGTTTGTGCAGTTCTAGAATGTAAACTGTTGTCTCCGTATCTCAAATGAGAGTTAGAACCGCCATGGGCCATTAGTTTTATTTTGGCCCCTTTCCCATCCTATTTTGCTCTTAGTTTAAAATATGTTGATACAAAATGAGCCTGTAATTATTGTAAGTCTTAAAAGCTAACGTCCACTTAGGGAAAATAGCTTACTCTACGTTTTGCTTCCTTTTTTTTTTTTTTTTTTTTCCTAAGAAAACAGAAATACCTATGTATTTAAATTAGGCTTTTCTTCTAACAAAAGGAAACCTTGATGGAAAGAGTCAAGAGGCAGCTACATGAATGGGATGAAAATCTTAAAGATGAATCTCTTCCAACAAACCCAATAGGTATGATAATGTTGAGCTTATGAACTCAAATTTGGGTTTGGGGTGTTTTTTTAAGTTCCTAAGAAAAGAAGGCTTAGATGATTACCTTTTATTGATAGTCCATCCCTCACTTCCAGTTACCAATAAATTTTAAACGGTTGACTTTGACAAAAGGATGATAGAGCTTTTAAAGACATGAGCATCCTCCAATTGTGCCACAACATGTTCAGAAAAAGTAGAACTCAAATGTGCTCCATGGCGGGAGAAATGTGATTTGTTTCATAAGAAAACAAGAGCCAAAAGCCTACTAGACTTTAAAATTATTATTATGTAAGTCTAAGTGTTAGTAAGTGTAATCTCTTTGTTCTTGCTTCTTACTACCTCTTATCCGACATGAGGGAAAATAACACCAGTAACCTAATCACCGAAAGCTGGGATCAGATTTCATGCCTTCACAGGCATCGAGGTTATGCCCCACTGAACAAGTCTCTTCTCTCTACAGGTCTCTAGTATCTAACAAGATGGAAATTTCAGCTGAAGCCTTTCTAAGGCTTCCTTTCCTTCCCCCCCCCCCCCCCCCCCCCCCCCCCCCCCGTGTAGACTCTCAGATGCCTAATAAGGGGGGAAATTCAAACTGCAGCCTTCAATTAAAGTCAGTTAATCACCAAATGCCGGTCTAGGCTCAACAGTTTTGATGTATGTGGAACTCTCGTTTCTGATTTGCCTGAAGTAGTAGTTGAAAGTTTGAAAGTATTTCCTGTCTGCTTTGCCCGGAGTGCTGCTTAGAGGGCCATATATGGAAAGCATATGAAATAATCTGAAAACAGACAAAAAAATCCAGTAATTCTTTTGGCACTTCTTTTCTTGTGATTCACAGCACACTGATATTTTGCTGACTTTAATTTTCAGCTTTTGAATTGTTTTACAGGTTGTGAGGAATGGGATGATTTCTGGCTTAGCAAGGCTTTTGTTAGCAAAAGTAAAGAATGGCTGTAGTAAAGTCCACTACATTTTGTGTTTGTGCCTTTTAATGCCCAATTGAAGTTGCTGTCTGAGTATTTACTATTCTATTAAAATTAAAAAAAAAAAAAATAAAGTCTGACTTCTTGACTGAATATTTTTGGATCTAATTTTGGTCTGCTTTCAAATGTGGGAAAAAAACTTCCAAAACCTCCAGAAAACAGTGTAGAGTGTATACAGAGTGTGTCTCTTTCATTCCCACAATACAACAGTAAAGAATGCTTCTTAATACTAACATGAGTAATATAACTTGGTTGTAATTTATGAATGCAGTGTATGTATGTTTGGTGGTTGTTTTTTTTTTCTTTAATTTTTCCTTCTCTTTTAAAAACATGTCTGTCTTTCTGAAAAAAAAAAAAAAAAAAAAAAAAAGGAGGAAGTGCGAGCATAAAGAAAACCACTGGTGGTTGGAAAACTCAGTAATTCACTGTCGAAGTGAAAGTGTGTATCAGACAGTGTTCTCCAGGGGTCTGTTCTGGTTTTAGAATTTACTACCTTACCAGCATTGCTCAGTCTCCATCACTGGCGATCTCAAGTGTGGATTAGATAAAAACCTTAGAAGGGGTTTTACCTGTACGTGATCCAGCCTTAGGGCAGAAGGATGTACCGGGATGTCCTTAAAATTCTGTTATAAACCTAAGTTTTAGCACTCTATCTGTAACTGAGTAGAAATAGTAGGTTTTATTTCTCTTGAAAATTCTAACAGGCCTCGTACTTTCCCATTTCTAGATTTTTCTTACAGAGTTGCTGCTTGCCTGCCAATTGATGATGCATTACGCATACAGTTGCTTAAAATAGGCAGTGCTGTCCAGCGACTCCGGTGTGAATTAGATATTATGAACAAAGTGAGTATTTTTTTAATTTATTTGTCATTAAATCGTTCTCACAAAATAAAAAAATAAAATAGGAGTGACTTACAGTCTATAACAAAAATGTATGAAATTGCCAAATAATACTTCTAGAGAGTAAAAGTGGGTGTTCTTTTATTTCTTCCTTCCCCTTTAAAAGTTTGGTTGGAAAAGAAAATGCTCTCTCAATACTAGACTATGTTTGGCAGCAAGCAAGACATATATAATAATATTTGCTTTTGCTAGAAATCACATTTCAACACCTCAGCGCTTTCTTAGCCAAGAGATGGTGCTAGAAGTCCAATGTTGCTCATAACCATCTTATGAACATCCTGGCCCCATATTCACAGTATAATACACCACAATCAAGTAGCATTGTGCCATGTAAACTTGTGGATTTTGTCACAATAGAGAAATCTTTGTGGTATTGAGCTATTGCATATAAATCTAAGTGTTGGACTAAAAGGATTTTCGCAAATTACATGTATTGACTTGTTAGGAAATACCTTTTTAAGATGTTCAAAAACTTTCCTTTCCCTTCCCTTCTTTCCATTCCCATGGCTATGTAACGCTCTAAATGTAGGACACTGAAGTTTTACTTTTACATAGTACATTTCTTTATGATAATATATGCTTTCTTAATGTCTACTATGAGTAATATCTATTATAACTGGTAGTGCAACTAAGTATCAGTCAGCTTCCCCTTGAATTGACTGTTTTAGGAACAGCATTTACAATGTTTCCAACAGCAGTTCAGATTGCCAAAGAGAAAAAGCTGGAGAGAGACATTGGTGTAAATACAAGTTTTAACTGTAAACTTGTAATGTCTTTTGACCCTGATAATATTAAATAATTTTGTTAATACATTCATACCACAAAGATTAGCTATATACATCCTGATTGACCCTTACCTTGCTGGTTGTAAGTTTGCTGGGGATACCCAAGTACTGCCTCAGACATTAGTGTACCCCAGTCACCGCTGTGCTCGGCTGCTGGATATGGAGCAGTGGAAATGTGGCTTGTTTGCCTTAAAAGTACTGCCTGCGTCTGGGGAGAGGAGACCCAGAGTATCCTTTTAAAACCATTCCTCTTCCCAGAGTTCATGCTCCAAAGTTCTAAAAGGGAGTACACAGAGAAAAGGAGGCAGAAAACATCTTTTCCAAATTCTGAGGCAAAAATGGACACGTTTCTGCGTGAGGCTCTGTGATCAGATTAAACTGCATTTGTCTTTCCTGAGTCAGAAATTCTGAAAATATTCAGATATTCAGCTACTACTAAGAACCGTTCATGTTCAGTACATTGTATATTTTCTATAAATCCCAAAGACACAAGAGGGCTGAAGTTACCCTCATAAAACATAAGGTAGAATTGATTTTAGCCTACACCAAAAAGGTGTTTTCTTCATCAACATGAGACATTTTGTTCTGTAAATGTGTTTATCTGTTCTGTATTAGTGTGAGAATGGTAAATGCATTATGTTCTTTTACATTTTTCTTAGCAACATTTGTTTTGGTCAAACCCACTCTTTTTAAGCCAGGTTCTTTAATGAGAAGGGGTGCTCTGGCAAGATAGCATGTATTGGGGTTTACTTGAGAAGGATGGGCTGCACCCATTTCACTGTTCAGAATGGAATTTACAGTAATTGATTGTAAGACCTGATCCATTTTCTTTTGTCTCAGATACCAGTGAATGGTATTGTGCTTTTAACAGTTTCTCCTGTTATTAAAGACAGGTAACTGTTTCTGTGCTTATTTTTAAAGGAATGTACATCACTCACAGGTATAACACTTCTATAATTCTGCTTGAGAGTGCTAATTGTAGTAATTAGATAGATTTGGAAATGGGGGGGATGGAATTCAGTAGCTTTCTAAATTGGATTCTGAAGGGGATTTATGAGTATTAGATTATAATCTGTGAGTAAAGGTGATTTAAGAGTGAGTGACAGTAGGTGTTGAAGATCCCTGGTAGGGGAGGAAGGCCAAGTGAGCTTTAAGAAGCGAAGAGGACTACCGTGATAGATAGTATCTGCATAGTAGAGCAATTTTCCTCCCTCAGTCTCCAAGATCAGCAGTGTGGTGGAAGTGTGGGGCAGAAGCAGTGTCGCCTGCAAGAAAGGAGCCGGAGGAAGTGAAAATGCAGCAACAAGCCCAGAGCATCTGGGTGGAGGAAAGGAGAGAGTAAAGGCTGGCGTACGCCTGTGGAGCATCACACGAGTGGGGTGCAGGAGTTGGAGCTCAGGGAGACTGAGAAACACAAGCTGTGATTTACTCCAGGTTTTAAAAGGATATACACTCACACCGGGACTTGTCCAAGTAAAGATCCTGGGCACAGCACTTTGTTGCAAAATGTAGTGGATCGTTTTTTGGGTAATTTCACATGCGTTACCCTTAAAAAGAGGTAGAAGTAGTGTACCTCCTGAAAATTAATGGTACTGTTCTACTAAGCTGATTTAAATGCTTATTTTCTGGACAATGTCAGTGATGAATTGTTTCGTTCTACTTTCTAGAAACTGTAGAAGATAAATTAATCTATTATAATCTTTAAGAGAAAGATCAATACGTCTTACTTATTTTTTTGTAAGGAAATTAAAACCATTGATCTACAGTACTGTCAAATTTCAGACTTAAGGAATGCATTTGTACGCATCTACCTTTTCTGTCTTGTATTTTACAAGAACAGAGGGGATTTTTTTCTAAACTAGCTTTTAGAGACCTTAGAAGGCTGACGCATTTAAGGTTGACCTTTGTGTAGTCAGATCTGTGGGTAGTTTTTTTGGGGGGGCAGAAGGGAGTATACAAAAGCTGTTCTGTGTTTTAGATAACAATTCGTGTTTACCATAAATAAGTAAAATGCATAGAAAAACAAATACCTTTTGATAGAGAAAACATCACTGACTGCTGCTTGGATAAACAAAAGAATTGTACAAATTATGTTTTGTGGGAAGGGGAGAGACATTTTTATTGTTTGCCACTGTGCTGACAAGCATCTGGAAATGAATAAAATTACCCTCTTTGTTTTTCTTTTCAAGTGTACATCTCTCTGTTGTAAGCAATGCCAAGATACAGAAATAACTACCAAGAATGAAATATTCAGGTGAGTTTATTGCTCTTAATCTTTGGGAGGTTCTTGATCAGAAACATTGGCACAGCAAAACAGATTAAGCTAGGTTATGTTTTATAACTACCGTGTTTTCTACATCTCTAATAAAATTTAAGTAAATATTTATAGGGAATTTTCTTCGTAAAATGAAACAGGTTGCTTGAGCTTTTTTAATAAAAAGTTAGTGAGCCTGAACATCACCGTGTATATTGTAGCGGATGTTAGTGTGAAAGGCCATGTTATGCTTCCTAGTCCAGCACCCTTGCCACTGAACAACGTGCACTCTGCGCTGAGTTTGAAAATATAAATTTGTTACAGAGAATTTTTTGTCCTGTTATTTCTGAATAAAGCTCATCAGATCCCAAATTTAATTTCTCAGCACTTCGCCCCAACTTCTGTGTGTCAGCAAGCTTCAACAGCAGATTACAATGGGTGGTACAGATAGGCTCCCAGGATGTTGTCATGTAAGGAAATTGCCTATTTATGTCATTAAGCATCGTGATACCTTTTTTATTTTAAGAGTATAGGGTTTAATCCTAAGCACTGCGCTAGGCAGTATGTTCCTATTATAGATTTGGCCTATACAGTATCTTCCATGATCATCGATGATAAGACTATACATTTTCCCAAATAATTGCTGCTTCTGGCAGTCTTGTCACTATTTTAATCCTGAATAACTAATATCTGTCGGTCACCTATGATAATGTGAAGGTTAAAAGATATCTCGGTTTAACAAAGCAAGACTCCCCACAGTTTTCCTTATCAGTGTGATAAGAAGCAGATGTGGTAATTAAAAGCCATTTCTTATCTTCTAATCAAATAATGGATTCCAGAAACCATGATCCCTGCTGTGTTGATACACTGTACTTTAAGAGAAGAACGATGAGAAGTTAGTGTAATGAATGAATACTTTTGCTTACTTTTAAAGTTAGATTTAAAAGTAGCGATATAAATGTTACTTGGTTTCATTGGAAGCCGCTGTTCAAAAGCGGCAAGTAGAATAAATGATGAGTCTATCACGTACTTCTGTACTGAGCTGTAGGTTTTTGAGGGAAAGATTAATAACTGTATTAAATGAGGTAGTTTTCATGGCGTCCTGTCAGCTGTCCTGTGCAAGTAACTTGGCCCCTTTAACAAACACCTGGGCAAGGTTCATCTGACCACAAGAATGTTTTGATCCTTACTCGTGATAATATCTTTTAAAATACCCTTTCTGAAGTAGGAACTTAAGTAGGAAAACAGAAATCGTTTATGTCAGTGAGGAATGCATTGGATTTATAACACTGGATGCTTAAATTTCTTCAAATCTAAGAAAATTTGACCAATGCTTTTTTACATTAGTGTCTATTTTCTTCCAATATTTAATAATATAATTAAAGATACCTCTTTTTTTCTACAGCCTAAAGTGGTTCTGTTGCTGTGGAAAATAGTTTTGAGCACAATTCACAGTTTTTCCTCTGCTTACATTTGACAGACTTTGTTTCTTCCTTGAACTCTGACAAAATTATTAATTTTCTCTTGTAGTTTATCCTTATGTGGGCCCATGGCAGCGTATGTGAATCCTCATGGGTACATCCATGAAACCCTTACTGTATATAAAGCCTGCAACTTGAATCTCAGTGGACGACCATCAACAGAGCACAGCTGGTTTCCTGGGTAATAACAATCAAAAGAAATTTTACTAGTAAATGACAGAAATTTGGTTGAAAATGTCTTCCTGTGACAGTGGAATAGTAAATCTCTAATTTTTGAAACATGTCATCATTTCGTTCATATGAAAAATAGGAAAGTAAATTTAGACTTTTTCAAAATGCATAAAAAAATGGAAAATTCAGATAGAATGTTTTTGGAATTTCTCTAACTTTTTGAAAAATGTGGAAGTCTTAAGATTCTAAAACACAGTCTAGCATCTGAGAGCTCTAAACAGGATACTGACTGTCTAGAAGTTTCTTTGTGTATAGCTTTCTTTAAGCTAAAACTAAAATCATAACTGTTGTTTCCACGCAGCTTTCTTCGATCATAAAGTAAATAAAGGGCAAATGAAAACCAGAATATATAAATGCAGTTATTCTACTGAAATACTGGGTTTTCGATTCAAAAACTGAATATATGTTACATAAATTTTAAAATGACTTAACATTTGTATCAATCTGATTACCTTTGATTTTTATTTTATTTTTTTAATTAGTCTGGCTCTCTGAAAGAGTCGCAGAATTAACTGTCGAGATGTAAAAGCTGGCCTAATAACGACAGGTCACCCCTCTCTGGTAGCTTAAATTTCATTTTTGAGGCTAGATAAGCATTCTTCAGGCATTCATGCAAAATACTCGAAATGTCAAATTATATTTGACTTTTAGTTTCACAAAAATATTCTTTAAATACGTTTTCACCAAATCATTCCTCTATGTGGTCCTTTCTGTGCTGGAGTGTCAAAAATTGTTTTTCTGTCCCTTTGGCTGTCACGTCCTCTTTGAAAGCAGCGCAAAGTAATCTGTTGCTAGATTTGTAGCCAGGCCAAGGTTCTCGACTAGTGTGTGTACACATTTACTCTTTCATTTTCTCCTGTTGATCACGGTTTTTTTTTTTTCTAGATTATCACACAGCACTGAGTAATGACTTGGAGGGTTTATGGCATACCTATCACAAGACATGCACGCTTTAAGACTCCCTGAAGAAAATTTTGTCTCATCCTTATGTGTTTTCTCAACTCTTTTCTTCTGTGAGGGTTTTGAAATATTCGTGTTCTGCCTTTTAATACTGTTCAAGGAAAGCTCCATTGCTCTGGAAAATGCAGTTCCCTATTAATCTAGAAGCAGTGCAAAAATCACTTTTATTTCCGTTGAGTGACTTACTCTCTGAGAATCATTTTCTGTCTGTTCTTTAAGGCACACAGCATTTCATTATAGTCTTGAAATGTGCTAATAAAATGCTTTAGTTGCTTTCTCTGTTTGAAGGCTGATTTTTTTTTTTTATTATTTTTTTATTTTTTAAGATCTTTGGGGTTTTTAGATGGGAACTGGGAACCTCGATTCACGAAGATGCTTTGAAAAATCTAGCTTGAGACTGGTATTACCTTCCTACCTGAGGAGTGAGCTGCGTTCCAGTATTTTTAAAATCGCCTTCTCCTTGCGTGTTGGCCTCAACCTTTTGCTTTGTTTTTGGTAGGTATGCCTGGACTATAGCCCAGTGCAGAATCTGTGGGAACCACATGGGATGGAAGTTCACAGCTACCAAAAAGGATATGTCACCTCAGAAATTCTGGGGACTGACACGATCTGCTCTCCTGCCACGGATTCCAGAAACAGAGGACGACTCGGGCCAGGATAGATCACCGCTGCTCTGCCTGTAGCCTGGTAACCTGCTTTGGAGATGAACAGGCCGTGGTCTGTCTCCTAAACGCGTCTGCTCGATTCCGCTTCCGATGCTTACTTAAACTTTAAAAAAAAAAAAAAAAAAAAAAAAAATAAACCCCAAGAACCCACACCCACACGCAAAACCCAACCGAACAAGCAGGCTCGCTACCTTTGGGCTTGGTGTGCACCCGCCTTGCTGTTGTTTCAGGCACACGGAGAACTGAAGGCCGAATCTTTAAAATGACGGCTGAGGAGAGGAGGTGGCGTGAGACACCGAGGACTCGACCTGATCCATCCGGACAGACTTGAGACTGAACTTTCTCCTTCCTTGCATAACTTCAGAAAATGTTTACTGCTATCAACTTGCAGTGAAAGAAGGTGGGGGGAAACGAAAATGACAAATAAACAGAGTATAATTTATGCAATATACGTATGATGGTAGAGACCAGCCACTTGCTGCAGAGTATTTTCCATAATATACTTAAAAGGTTTTTTGCTGAGAATCCCTGTTTCTAACTATGTGGAAAACTTCGAATTGGATGCTCGTGCTGTTTCTTAGATATTTGCTAAATAACCGGTGAAGAGAGGACAAGACTAAGGTATCTCCTCTGGCTGACACTGTGTTGGTAATGTCAGCGGCAGCGCTGTAACTGACAAAATTAAGTGTTCCCGCTGCCTGTGGGTAGGACAGATGCATTGCAGGATGCCCTTTGAAGGAACCCATGGGAAGTACTTGGTCCTTACAAGTTATCTGATCTATTTGACTTTAGAAGTGTTAAAATTGAAACTATTTGTACAAAACATACAGGTCAGTCCCAGAACATAAACTACATTGTCATTTACTGTTAAATGTGCTTACGTTTATTTTTCAGAATTGCTTCTGTGAAGATCAGTTTACCAGCATACACGTCCAGGGTTCTGTGAAGTACTCTCTAAAATACATAACTATGGTGATTTTTCAGTAGTATTTATTTTGACAAGGGGGGAGGCAATGTCTCTTTTTTTTTTTTTTTCCTTGTACACTTTCTTATTATAATGTGAAATTTCCCATTAGCCTCCTTACCTTACAAAGAGCAAAAGTTTCTAAATAAAACAGAACCAAAAAGCAGCACGCTTTTTTTTTTTTGTTTTCTTTTTTTTTGTCTGAAGTGCTGTCTGTACTACAGAAATTGAGTGCCAATCTGGGGCAGCTTTTGCCACTGATTTATTGTGGTGGTTTTTGTTTGGTTTTTCTGTTTTTTGTTTTGGTTTTGTTTTTTTTTTTTTTTTTTCCCCTCAGAATGCACTTTGGTGATGGAAACTGACAATTCCCTCAGTGTGCTCGTGTACCTACACACTTGTTTTTTTTTGTTTTGAAGCTGGATCATTCGCTCTTTATTTCTTCACAGTAAATCTTTGAGAACTTGTGTTGTCAAATATAACGAGACAAAGCTGCTTAAGGTGTAAGACATCAGCTGCTGCCCGCTGGCTCTCAGTCCAGGGCCCGGGCAGGCGACTCCGCGACAGCCCAGGTCAGAGCTCTCCAAGACCAGCAGCCGGTTGGAACGGTGCCACAGTACCCGCTGCACCCCAATGGGAGAAAATGCTGAAAGGCTGGTTAGGGTAGCTTATCACGCTAGGTGTGTAGAAACTAATTATTGTGTAACTCAGGTTTAGTTCTTCGAAGCCTTCTACCTCGGTGCTTCTGTTATAAGTTCTCTCTGTAGGCATCCCGAACGCCGCACTTAATTTTGTGCGCAGTGCCCTGGCTTGCCAGTGAACTGTGAAAAGCAATACTTCTTTGAGTATAATTCCGAGCGAACAGAGGGTGAACGATGGCTCATTTCCTTCAAGAACACATTCTGTCTTTTGATCATGTTGCCATAATAAGCTTTCGAAAGGCTGAAATGCTGAACGCTGGTGTGGGGGTGAGACTGTGAAACCCCTGTACTTGGCTTTCCCCTCCCGCCCTGCGGGTGCACTCACAGACATGCCCACGACCCACACGCGCGTGCACACGCACACGGCTTAGCTGTAGGCTTGGTTTAATTTTTCCCTCAAAGGTACCTGGTATCTCTTGTTCCCGTAACCCTCAGCAGGGCTTGGTGGTGGCAAGAAGTTTGAGGGTGCTCTGAAGTGCCTTCTGCTGCCGTTCCGCTCAAGTATTCACCGAGGGTAGTGGTGAGTGAGGTTTTGAAAATGTTTGTTTTCTCAGCTGTCACTGAGCTTCATGAAGTCTTTTGAGTTTTTGGCCGTGTCGTTTGGCTTGCCTCGGCTAAAAAGGGCATTATGTTGGCAATGTTGGGATACGAAATAGGCCTTTTTTTGGCATTGTGTATATATAGTCAAATGTAAGCTAGTATAATCGAGTGAGATAAGTCAGGAGTAAATTTAGCACTAATTTAATTTTACTGTTGATGATGCTGTTCTGTCTGCCTTCCATCTAACCTTCTGTGTAATGCTTGCCATTTCCAAGTCGGTGACATTTTCCAGGTTGAGAACAAGGGTTCTTCAGGTGGCCACGAAGAGGCTGAATCCTGCCGTGGTGACGCCGGCCATTACAGTGCTACGCGTGTAAGAGTGCTCAGGGTGCCCAGCATGTGGCTTGCAGGGCGGGTGGGGAGTCCTGGATGGTTCTACACATTGGTTAACGTTTTCTGTGCGTCTTTTCTCCTTTTTGGAGAGGAAAACTACTGGCTTGGGGTTGTGGAAAACTATTACAAACCTGGACATCGTAAGCTTTTGAGAGCTAAATCGCATTTTACGATAATTTCTTGCGTTTGCTACATTCCTTGGTTGGCATGTAGCTTCTTCATGCATTAATGAAGCAGAGTGACTTGCTGGTCACTTCATTTTAAGGCTGCTGCCTAAAGGGGTTGTTTTTCTCTCCCTCTCCCACCATAATCTCTGTCCTTCTGAGGTGGGAATGTGTCCCGGCTGCGCAGCCGCGGCCGCGCCGGGTCTGGGGGAGGGAGGAGGGACGGACGGGCGTCCGGTGGGGACAGGGGAGGGCCTGTCCTGCTCGGCAGCAGGCCCGGGCCGGATTGGGGCACATGTAGCATAGAACTGCTCATTTTCAAGCTGTCGTTGCAATGGTATAAAGCCGTCACACAATCGGAGCCTGTAATACTGCAAGCTTTCGTGTATTTTAGTTTCGTTTTGCTGACTAGGTAGAATCGCGTAGGACACTTGCACATCGGGTCTAAAACTTGTTCAAATACTCTACCGTTTTTGGTTTTTTAATAATGCTCGTTTTGTATGTGTTGCAATTCATTTCGTTCCTTTCGTTGTTTTTTCACCTTGTTTAATTGCTTTGTAAAAGCTGCGGAAAGGGTAGCACGTTCTCCGCTCTAACTCTTCCTCTGTCTGCCTTTTGAGACACCTTTTCAGAAAAATCTTGTGGCTTGCAAACATTTGCAAAGAATAAAATTCAGTTTGTTTCAAAACTGATCTTTTGCTGATTGTTGGGATGGGAAGAAAGAAAACGTTTGGGTTTGCATTGTGTTTTAAACGGATCAGCTTCCAAAATATGTAAGCTGAAGGAGTTTCAGCTTCAAAGAACGTGCAGGCTCGACGGGCAGAGGAGGTAGGAAGTAACAAGGAGAGAGCGTAGGTTGTCCTTCCAGTGAATAATCAAAATGAAACATGAAGTCCTTCCTCTGGAGCTCTTTCCTCTCTCATCTGTGCATTCATTTGCTTTAATCCACCTGAGTGAGTAGCTTCACTCCCAAATTGTTCCCTTCTGTATTAACTTCCCAAGGTCCAAGAGCGCTGGTGGTTTTTCCTTTCTCTCCAAGCCCAAGTTACTTTTAATTTCAACTAGGAAAGCAGAAGGGAAGTTTCGACTTAGAGCTTCTAGCCACAGAGCTCACAGTTCCCGCAGGGCTGTCCCGTTGAGGTACAACCAGCAGCATCAGGAATGTGTCCCCATAATCTGGTTTATTCACCGATTAGGAGCCTACGAGCGCGGCCGCTACGCAGCCCAGCTTGGGGGCCTGCCTGCCTGCTGGGGAGCTAACCAACAGAGTTTTTGAACAAACTCCTATTATTTTTTTTTTTTCTTGTTTTTTTTTTTTTTTTTTTTCCAGCATTTTCAAAGCAGGCACTCTCCAGGTGGCTTCGCCAGCGCTTTGGTCTGTCTTTGTGCCAGAGGAAACCTCGCAGGGTTATCCCCAGGTACCCACCTCACTTCCCAGTTGCTCTTTTCCACACAAACTGCGCTGCTGATGCTGATTTTTTTTAATTTTTTTTTTTTTGTCCTACTGCAGATTTTTTCCTCTCACTGCAGCTTTGCAGCACGCCGTGGGGCTTTCCTTTTCCTCTGCATTTTAAGACCACCCTCTGGGGCTTTTCCCCCCACACAGGGCCTGAACCAGGCCAGGGGCTGGGTGCTTTAGGCGATACGCGGGTAGTGGAGCACGCTGAATTGAATTTCAGACTGTCAAAGAGTCTTACCACGTTATAAAGAAATTATCTAAAAAATGTCAAAACTTTAAATCCTTGTCCTCTTGCACAGCCCGCTAATGAAGGACGCTGTTAGTCTCTCCACCACTAACACTCCGCCAAGGCACCGTAATCTTTACTGTCCCACTGGAAGCAGCTTTTTAAGGGAGGAAGAGGCATTATTATACTACCGCCAGTCACGCTTCACCGTGTCCTCCCTCCAGGATTTGTGGAAGCTTGTGAGAAAGGTCGCAAACCTGAACCAAAGCCCTGCTGGAACACTGACGGCATTGTCCCCCCCGCTGTTGAATCCACAGGAAAAATTAAAAAGGTTCTGAAATGCAAGTGTGTCACGCGGCTTCTTTAATCAGCGTGCTTTCCTAGAGAACGTAAATAAAACTTTCAAGGTACGTAGAGGACAAACTTCATCTGTGCCTGAGTAGCGTGGTCCTGTCTGCATTACACACAGAGTTTAGGTTCGATGCTCCGTGTATATTTTTTCCCCGGGGCCGCGTGGGGAGGAACAGAAGGGGGGGCGGGGGGTAGTGCCATCAAAAACTTTTTGAGCCCAAGTGTCTCCTTGAAGTTAAGGAGCCACCTCGGGCTGTACCAGAGGGGGAAGTAAAATAAGGCTACTACTGCAGCTTTTGTGTTCAGCCAGGTGCCTTCCCCTCTAGAACTCGTATTTACTGTGTAAGCTGGGGGTACAGGAGGCGTCACCCCGAGGTCTGAGGCGGGGGGGGGGGGGGGGGTGGCACAGACGTCACAGACTGGCACAATTCATAAATGTTGGGGGAAAGCAGCGTCCTGCGTGCGGGGGGGGGTGTTCCCGGGTGGGGCCCCGCGCCGCTGGGTGCTGTGGTGGGGCCGGGGGCCGGGGCACCCCCCCCAAGGGCAGCAGGAATTCCTTCCCGGGGAAAGGGGGGGCGAAGGCAAACGAAGAATTGTGGCGGGCGGCCGGGCCGGGGGGGCCGCGGGTGGCCCGGGCAGCGCCGGGCGGGGCGGGGCGGGGCGGGGGGCGGGGCGGGGGGCGGGGCGGGGCCGGCTGCGGGCAGGGCCAGGGCGGGACACGGAGCGACACCCGGGGGCAGCGCGGCCGCGGGCGGAGGGGGCACGCGCCAGGGGAGGCACGGCGGCTTTTCTGCTTTTTCTTGTTGGCTTTTATTTCCCCTTTTGCTTTTTTCCTTTTATTTCCTTAATATTTTTTCATTTTTTTCTTTTTCTTTCACTTTTCCCTTTATTTTTTAAGAGTTTTTCTTAGTACTTTTTCTCTTTCTTTTTAAAATATTTTTTCTGGGTTTTTATTTTTTTTATTTTGTTTTTTTCTTTTTTTTTTTTTAATATTTTATTTTTCCTTTTTTACTTTTTCCTGATTTCGCTTTATTATTATTTTTATTTTCATATTTTTTTTTCATTTTTTCTTTTTAAATTTTTATTTTTAATATTTTTTTCTTTTTACTTTTTGCTGTTTTCTTTTTTTCATTTTCCCTTCTTTGTATTTTTTATTTTTTTTTTTACTTTTTTCATATTTTCCTTTTTCCATTTATTTTTTCTTTATATTTTCTTAATATTTTTTTCCTTTTTTCTTATTATTTTTTCCTTTTAAAAATTTTCCTTTTTTTTTAATCTTTTTTTTTTTCCCTTTTTTTCTTGATTTTTATTTTATATTTTTTCTTCCACTTTTTTCCTTAACATTTTGGTTTTTTGCTTTTTTTCTTTTCTAGGTTTAATTTTTTTTTCACTTTTTCCTTTTTTATTTTTTCTTATTTTTTTTCCTTTTGCTAATAATTTTTTCCTTTTTTATTTTTTTTTATTTTTTTAAATTTTTTTTTCCATTTTTTTCTCTTTAAATCTTTTTTTTTACCTTTTTTCATTTTTTTTACTTTTTTCCTTTAATATTTTATCATTTTTCTTATTTTTATTTTTAAATTTTTAATTTTTATTTTTTTTCTTTTTTCATTTTCCATTTTTATTCTTTTCTATTTTTTTCTCAATGTTTTCCCATTTTTCTTAACCTTTTTTTTCCCCTTTTTTCTTGATTTTTATTATCTTAATATTTTTTCTCCTTTTATAATATTTTTTCTTCCATTTTTTTTTTTCTTAATTTTTAGGTTTTTGGCTTTTTTTCTTATCTTTTCTATCTATTTTTAATGTTTTTTTTTTATTTTATTTTTTATTTTTTAAAATTTTTTTCCATTTTTTTCTCTTTATTTTTAATCTTTTTTTTTATTTTTTTCATTTTTTTGCTTTTTCCCTTTATTTCAATATTTTTCTATTTTTAAGTTTTTTATCTTTTTTCATTTTCCATTTTTATTCCTATTTTTTTTCTTATTTTTTTTCTCAATGTTTTTCCATTTTTCTTAATATTTTCCCTTTTTTCTTGATTTTTATTTTCTTAATATTTTTTCTCCTTTTTTAATATTTTTTCCTTCCACTTTTTTTTCTTAATTTTTAGGTTTTTGGCTTTTTTCTTATCTTTTCTATCTATTTTTAATGGTTTTTTATTTTTCATTTTGCCTTTTTTTAATTTTATTTTTTCTTTTTTTTCTTTTTATTTTTTAAAATTTTTTTTTTCCATTTTTTTCTCTTTTCTTTTAATCTTTTTTCATTTTATTTTTTTTTTCCTTTTTTCCTTTATTTCAATATTTTTCCATTTTTATTCCTATTTTTTTTCTTATTTTTTTCCTCAATGTTTTTCCATTTTTCTTAATCTTTTTTTTTTTCCCTTTTTTCTTGATTTTTATTTTCTTAATATTTTTTCTCCCTTTTTAATATTTTTTCTTCCACATTTTTTTCTTAATTTTTAGGTTTTTGGCTTTTTTCTTATCTTTTCTATCTATTTTTAATGGTTTTTTATTTTTCACTTTTTGCCTTTTTTTTCCTTGTATTTTTTCTTAATTTTTTCCCTTTTGCTAATATTTTTTTTTTTTTAATTTTTTTTTTTTTTTCAGATGTATCAAAGTCAGAATGAGAAAAATCTTGGCATCACCTCTAACGCCCCAGAGTCAAGACAAAGTAGTTCAGTATTATTAAAATACAAGAAAGAGAGGTAGAGACTCGAATTTGGCAAATAACATTTTACATTACTACAAAATTAAACTTCTCCTTGCAGAAATGTGAATTAGTAACAGGAAAATGGTGCTGGCTGAAGATCTTAAATACAACAAATGCTATATTGGCTGTGACAACACTGACAGAATATTTACTGGTGTATCAGTTACACTTAGAAGAGTGAACAAACAGTTCTCTACAATTATTCAGTTTTACAACTTCTTCAGGCAACTTAACAGTTCTTCTTTATCCATGTGGTATCCACTCTTCTTCCATTCATCCCGTAACTGCTGTAACGCTGTTCCAATTTCTTTTCCAGAAGACACACCCATTTTTCTTAAATCGTGGCCACTAACAGGAAAAGAAGGAACAGTCCATTGCTGCATTTCTCTTAAGAGATGTTCTTCTCCTTGGTATTTCAGAAGCTCACAGATCTTGGAATTTGTATTAGCTTCTCTAGACTAAAAGGAAAAAAAAAAAAAAAAAAAAAAGAGAAGATTCACTATAAAACAGTAGAAAACAGTTCAAACTGTGCTCAGCATTGCGTTATTCCCATGACATCTTATTAGGCAACATCTGGACAACAAGTTGGAACTATGAAAGCGAGATCTCTTCTGCCGCACAAGTTTTAAAATTCAGGCCTAACTCGGAGGCTCTGGGAGATCCTTGGAGACTTCTTGAATTCCCTGTAATAGCTGTAACCATTATCTGCAACCTCCAACTGGAGAGGAACTATGGCCCTTCCTGGGGGAGACAGGCCTCGCTGCAGAGGCTGCTCTCGTCTTCAGCCTCAGGTACTGCGATAAAAGCACAGAACCGCACCCGAGAACTACCTGAACTCTGCTGTGGGAGAACGTGGCAGCTGGCCTGTGTGACAGTGCTCCTCATGAAGAGCACGTATCGACGCTCCGGGAATTGCACCAGCTTTCAGAGCGCAATTCCAGGAGCTGAA